GAAAGGAAACACAGGGCACATACCTTCCCTCTAAATAAGGAAGAGAATTGTCATCTTTAAATAGTTTATACGTGGACTCATCCACAGGGGATTACAAGTAACTTACTTCATAAACTTGCTGCTATTGAACTGGGTAGGTATTAGTGTGCACTGAGCAGCTGAAATGAAAGGGTGAGCTCTATGTAACAGCAGCCAGCACACACTGTCAAGTTCAAACATGACACTCAAATTCCTAGCTCATGAGCTAGCCCCACACACCAGCCAAGTACATTACCTGCCAAGGCTGCCAGATCACTGCAAACTGAGCTCATGGTCTCAAGCCTGCCTCATGGCCTTGCCCCTCCTCCCCAGCAGCCCTAGGCTTGCTGCCCTTTGAGATGGCAGGCAGATGGTCTTCCCAGCTGCAGGCTCGTAGACCACAGAAACAGTTCACTTGGTGCATGCAGCAACCTAAAAGAAAGTCTCGGACACTCCTTCTAACTCAAAATACCACGCCCCTCTTAAAATTCATTCTGTTTCCATTTCGTTATGGATTTGGGAGAAGGGGTGTTGAAACATTAGCTTTTTTTTTTTTTACACTGAATGCCATATATATAATCTGTGTATTGTGTTGAGGAAATTTCATATTGGGTGCCCGGACTCCTGGATTTCTGTATGTTCAAGTTCTTGTCTGGCATTTTTTTAGAGTCGGACTTCTTTCCTTTCTTTCTTGTTTCCTCCTCCTATTCATTTTTCCATCCATCCATCCATCCATCCATCCATCCCTGTCCCAAGCCCTGTGTTAGGTACGGTGGGGATAAAAACGTGTGAATCCCTAAAAGGGTAGTATGTCATGCACACAATAATGACGACACGGGAGAGAAAGTGGTAAGTGCCCAGGAGAGACTAGAGATGAAGTTGTGCAGATATTTGGAGGAGGGAGAAGCTGTTGAAAGGTTATCAGCAGGGACCCTACATGATCTGATTTATGCTGCGGGGGTTTAAGGAGAGTGAAAGCAGGTAGTACCCCGGGCAAAGGAAATAGCAAACTTAAGGGCCTGGGGTAGGGAAGAGCTTGGTGCATCCCAGATTCCTGTGAGGCTCTGTGTTTGGATGGAGCCCAGGGAACAAGAGAGGGAGAGGAAGGACATCAAGTTGCAGAGGTCAGCAGAGCCAGATGTGCAGGGTTTGGAAAAAAGTTCCAATGTTTAATTCTGTTGTTACTGTCAGAGCACGAAAAACACCGTGATTCCCCGAACTGCATGAAGATGGCAATCAGATCAGTTGGGTGAATGGCAGAGCATGTTTTTTAAGTTTTGAACAATAGAAAGAGGATCTGCTTAACACGAACGACGCGATGTATGCCAAGTTGCTCAAAATTTCTCGTAATTGTTTGCAGCATTTCCTATGGAAAATTTAAAATGAGGGCTGGATGAACTGCGGCCATCGGTGCCGATCATTCCGAGGCTTTGCCCCAAGTACAGCCCGAGGAAATATTTTCGGTTTCCTTCCATTCTGCTAAGGATGCAGCTTGGAAACAGCCTTTGCCCCGCGCTTCCTGCCCCGACCTGTTGGAGCTGCGGCTCCAGGGAGCGAGGCCGAGCGAAGGAGCCGGGCTCTGCGCACCTTGCTGCTTTGCTGGCGGAGGGTTTCCAGCCCCTGGGACCTGCGTCTGGGGGGGCGGGGGCGCTGGGGGTGTCAGCCTGTGTCTGGCTGCCTGGGGAGCTTTTCTAAGAAAAGCCACGGTATGCTGTACTAGTTATTATCATAATAAATACTTAAGTGCCATATGGTGTCAGACACAATTACCACCCACACTTTACTAGGCTGAAAAAAATACGTGAAAATCTGAGTAAAATGACTCGGTTTTAGGTTTCTTTATGGAGAGCTTGATGACTCCCAGTCCTTTAGCTGTGCAGAGAACCCTGGCTGGTGGAGACAAGGATTCGTGGAGCGCTGGCGGGAGGGGACAGAGAGAGGACAGGACAGAACCTTGAGAAGGGGTCCCTAGTTCGGAAAGAGGACAGTACAAATGAACCGTCACATAAGTGAAGTGGATGGGACCAGGCGCCATGAGGCAGGTCAGTGGATCTGTTCAGGGTCCGAGTCTGATCTGTGTCTACATTTTCTGGTACAATGATATCTTAAGGCCAGGTCCCTGATCCAGGGTGAAATGAAGACAAGGTGGATAACGTGATGAGTGTTTGACAGAACCCAGTATGTATTAACTAAATGTATACAGAACATTGTATATGACAAAATAAAGCCTCGGCAACTCCTTTTTTTGAAATCTTGCTCCTTCTCAAAGTCCCGCGTCTAAGCACCCAGTGCTGCTAACTGGCAGGTGGGGAGTGATGTTTATTAATGAATGAAATGCGTGTACGTCGCGCTGGCGAAGGACAGACGAAGGAAGGGGAGAGAGGAATAAGAGTCAGTAAAGCAAAATCGATCAATGGGATGCTTTGGAGAGAAAGGAGATTTATCAGGAGGGCCAAAAAAAATGTGACAGGCAGATAGTTTGACACATTTGATATGTAAATAAGCCGTGATCATTTATAATAAAAATAAACATGGCGCCCAGTAGGTACATGGACAAAGATCATGAACAGACCGGTATCAAAAATAGAAATAAAATAAGAAACCAGCATAAGGCACATGTCAGTCCTCCCTTCCTTACTCACCCCCTAACTTTGATTTCCGTTCACTGCTGTCTGTAGTTCTTAACAAATAGCACTATCCCAGTGTTCTCTCTCTCTCTGTTTCTTGTTTATTCTCTTTCCCTGCAACTCGCATGAGGCCCATAGGTTGTCCCGCTGCCGCCAGCACAACCCGGGGCTTTAACGGAAACCCACGTGAGAGAGGAGGGTCGACTGGCAATGGGTTTGTAACCTGTTGGGCAAGTTCCAGAGTGGAGACGCTGGCTAAGACCCCCCTTGCTGGAATTGTAATGCAGCTCCAAAGAAGGCTGTGGATTTGCTTCTTTCTTGCTTCTTTCTTTCTTGCTTCTTTCTTTCTTTCTTTCTTTCTTTCTTTCTTTCTTTCTTTCTTTCTTTCTTTCTTCTTTCTCTCTTTCTCTCTTCTCTCTTTTATCCTCACTTGAGGACATTTTTGCATTTATCTTCAGACAGAGCAGGAGGAAGACAGGGAGGAAGAGAGAGAGAGAAACATTGATGTGAGAGAGTCACATCGACTGGTTGCCACCCGCACAACCCCAACCGGGGCCGGGGATGAATCACAACCAAGGTACGTGTCTTTAGCAGGAACCGAACCCAGGACTCTCTGGTCCGAGGGCCGACGCTCTAACCGCTGAGCCAAATGGGCCAGGGCAAGAAGGCTGTGAATTTAAAGGAAGAATATAGTTCTTTCAGAACAGAGCTTGGACAGAAGGAGAGGGGGTGGTAAAAATGAAAGAAAGAAAGAAAGAAAAAGAGAGAGAGAGAGAGAAAGGAAGAAAGACCAGGTTGTCTAATTTTTAAATAAATATATCACAAGCTGTCTTTATGAAGTTAACTATCACCAGCAGGAAATTTGTCTGAACAAGAAAGGCACAATGACACGTCTGTAACTACTTTGAGATTGCTCCCCAAAGGCACCCAGGGCGAAAAAGGCTCTGTGTGTTCCCGCCGAGTAACCGCACCAGGACCACTGGCTGGTTCATTGAGCTCTTCTGGGGGAGATTCCACAGCACATGACAGCTGTGTGGCACATCTGTTCAAGATCCAAAGATCCAGTTGCACAAGCATTTATTGGGAAAGGTTCCTTGGCACCAGTTCTGTGAAAAGCCCTGGGAGCTTGGATTGAGTGCAAACTTAATAGGCTATAAGTTTAATGGAATGTTAGGCCGCATCCATGGAATTGTGGTACCTGGTCTTCTTGGAAGCTGAGCTGGTCAAACCACACTCAAAGTACTATAATAAATCCTGGTCATTTTAAGAAACATATTAAAAATTTGAGTTTGTTCCTAGAAGGGTAGTCAAGAAGAATCTAGAAATCGTGACATGGGCCTGGCTGGTGTGGCTCAGTGGTTGAGTGTCAACCCGTGCACCAAGAGGTGGCCAGTTCGATTCCTGGTCCGGGCGCATGCCCAGGCTGTGGGCCTGATCCCCAGTGGGGGGCATGCAGGAGGTGGCCAAGCAATGTTCTCTCTCATCGATGTTTCTATCTCTCTCCCTTTCTCTCTCTCTAAAATCAATAAAGAAAAATTATTTAAAAAAAAGAAAAAAAGAAATGACATGGGAAATGGTCCGAGGTCTTGGAGGTGACAAATCTCTAGTTTAACCTGAAGAAGAGAAGATGAAAGAGGGAGATGCTATAGCTACTATCTTCGGAGATTCAAACGGTTAGCTGACGCAGGGCCTTGTGGGACAGTGTCTGAAATAAATGTCTGATGAATGAATAGATACATGAAGAAGAGAGCAGGTGTGTGTGTGTGAGTGTGTGTGTGTGTCTGTGTGTTGTTTTCCCCATGTTCACCCCATGAGTCTCTTTGGCATATCCGCAGGGTAAACGTTCCTACACACTTGGGAAAGGTTCTTCTTTATGGGACTGGGTTCTCTTCGATACCTGGCTTTGGGAGGGGCACTCAAGGCACATTGGCTCCTCAGCCTTGATCATCACTGGAGGAACAGAGGTAGTATGTCCTGAACAAATGATGCCACCAGCTGTTAGACAGTTGTGCCACGGTGCACACACTGGCAGCCCTCAGGTCTCCAGCCCATAGACTGTTTCTATGGGATTTCATAGGGTTTTAAAGATGAATTTCTTGCAAATATTTAATTCAAGAATGTTCCCATAAAAACACTTAACATGAGACTTTTGAGGAATTGGACAGCACCCCACCGAATAATGGCTCCTCCCTTCAGATGGAGTGAGAACTGTGACAGTTCACCCCCTTCTCTTACTGCGCCCAGCAGTGGGAACTCATCTGTAGACCCCGTGCGTAACTTACGTGGACAATAACCCAGCCCCTGGGAGAACTGTCTCTGTTCTTCGCTAACAGTGTCTTTCTCTCCCTGCCCCAGTCTGCGATTGCAATGGGAAGTCCCAGCAATGCATCTACGATCGCGAACTCCACAGGCAGACGGGGAACGGATTCCGCTGCCTCGGCTGCGCTGACAACACCGGCGGCATTCGCTGCGAGCGGTGCAAGGACGGGTTCTACCGGCAGAGAGCGAGAGACCGCTGCCTGCCCTGCAACTGCCACCCCACAGGTAGCTGGGGAAGGGCAGAGGAGGAGGGAGAAAGACAGGGAAGGGAGGCAGGGAGGGAGCAGGGCAGAGAGGAGCAAACAGGCCAAGAGAGAGGTGTCCGACTTCTGGAACAATTGGGAATCTAACCAGACACTGGTCCTTTTTGTCAGTTTCGATCTGAAAAGAAGTGCTTTTCTGAAGGTTGGATTGTGGGAACCAGTTAATGTCTTCAGGGCACCTTAGTTTGAATTCTAGAACCAAGAGGCACCGGATTACTTGTCCTGACAGATGACAGTCTGTGTCCTGGGGGAAAAAGGAAATTTGCACTCTTCCAGCGACAGTTCCTCCTCTCTACAACCATCCCTTTGCCCAGCCTCTCAAAAAAGAAGGGATTAGAAAGCTGTTTCTGGTGCTATGCTAGGTGCTAATGGGAAAGACAGACACACGAATAGTCTTTCACAGAGCTGTTAACAAGAAGAAATCCAATTAGCAAATAGGAAGCACCTAGCAGGGTGGCTGGCTGGGAGGAGGGCTCTTTTGTTGTGTTTTGTTTTTACAAATGTATCACCCGGTGCTGGTGCTGTATTCGCAGAACTGTAGGTAGTTCTGCGCGCACAGGTGCGCACGGGGTACTGGATTCATCGCCGGCAGACAGTAAAGACGAGCTGGTAAAAATAAAGAGGGAGAGACAGGTAGTTCTGCTACATAAGTTGAGTTGTTTTCTCTTTCAACAACCTTACTGTTTATTAGCTTGACAGTATCTGTTTCACATCCGTCAGAAAGTATTTAGTAGCATCTTCTGATAAATATGCCCCAATGCGCGCAGGGACTCCGTGTAGCTACAAGGAATCGATACACAGGGGCGGCTGAAAGCATCTGAAAATAAGCAGACTTCAGTTCAGCCATGAGTTGCTGATAGAGTGTGTTGGGGAGCCTTACAGAAACTGGGGTGACCCTGTTGTGATGCAGACCCATAGCCCAGCCATCACGTCCCAGTCACCCGAGTTGCTTTCATGACGGGATTTGCACCAGGTTTGCTCAGCTTTGTGGTGGAGAATCACTTGGACTTAGCCATTGTCCCTGCGAATCAAAGAATTTCATCAAGAAAACCTAAAAGAAGAAAGAGTCCATTGTAACGAGCATTTAACCTCTCTGAAGAGCCCACATCCCCTTAAGTTACAGCTTCCTTGTGAGCCACTGGAGTCCGGTCCTCCAGCAAAGAGGCCAGTGGGAGTGTAACTAGAAATGGAATTGGCCCCCTGGAAAGCCTGCCTGAGGACACGGTTGTTAGTCCCAAAGTGAACCACAGCCTGCTGCTGAGCAAGGAGATGGCAATGAGGGCTTGGAGTCCACTGGCCATTCAGCTGCAACGAGCCGGGCTCTTCCTTTGCTTTTGGGGAACGGCCAGCCCAGATTCAGGGTGCTCAGCCTGGCGGTAGACATGGAGCCCAGCGACGGCTTACATCTTGCATGATCGCTAACATGCTTTGCCCGTTTAGTCTGGGCTAGGCACTTTTCCGGCTGCTTTCATCCAGCAATTAATTTCATCTCCACAAATAACCGTTTGAAGGGGGTGCTGTTATTAGTTCCACTTTACAAATGAAGTAGCAGAGGCTTCAAGAGAGAGGGGACAAAACTTGACTGAGGTTGCAGAGCCATGTGGGTTCCAGCCCCAGGGGTGCTGACATCAAGGATCATAACGTAGAATACAGTGGGGGGTTTTGGAGCCGGACAGCCTGGTTCAATCTCGGCACTGCCACTATGGCTCTGCCACTCTGGGCATGCTCCTTAGGCCCTTGCTGCCCCATGTCTTCGTCTCTAAAAGGGTGATCATGCTATTTCCATCACAGGATCCTATGAGGATAAAATGATGTTTGTTAAGCACATGGTAGACAACTCAATAACGTGATGTCATTGTTTCTCGTATTAGGACAGAGATCAGGGTTCCAATCCCCTGGAACACTGGTTTTTTAAAAAATTACATGCCAGCTTAGAAAGAAGCCTTAATAACACTATTTATTAACTTTATTATTAACATCCTGAAATTGGCAGTCAATTTTTAAAATACTTTTTAACAGTGGGGAAACTGAGACATACAAGAGTCCATGCATGGCCTAGAATCTCCCAGAAGCAATTACAAGAGCCAAAGTTGTAATCCAGGTGTTCTGATATAAGACTACTCCCGTTTATTCCCCCTACATGAAAGAAAAATATCAGAGTGCTGTCATTCTATCCGCAACAGCAGATATTAGATGTCCTGAAAGAAATGTTGTGGATATTATTTCCTAAGATCTGGGTACTGCTTTATTCTTCCCCAGAACACTTTCTCATACTATGTCTTCTTCAAGTATGTATGTGTGTTGTACCCATCATTATGGAGAGAAGAGACGAAGCTCCCGGCCTGAGCTGCCAGGCTGAGTGGCATATTGGTGGCAGAGACTGTTCCCCCCGTGTGCCATTGCTGACCACACATTGGCTGCACACATCACTGAACCAGTGGCATGAGATTAAGTCCACATGTGGTTTCGCAGTTCTCTAATCAAACAAAGGGTAGTTTTCACTTTCAAATAATAACTTCACAAGGGAACTTATTGTATATTCCATTTCAAATGCAGGAGAATATATCTTCCCAAATAATGCTGTCATTGCATGTGTGGCAAATGAAGCCAACAGCATTACTAATCCCTAGGGTGGTCACAGCCTTGGACTTCACATGAACTTCTCACAAACATAGCGACTAGGCTTAGTTTTATTTGATGGCTTAGTGGGCTCAGCAAAAAGGCTGAGTTATCTTCAGTTCATGCAACCACATGTATAAGCCCTGACACCCTTTTGCAAATCTTTGAAATTCACTGTGTGGGGGTGTTGGGTGTGTTTTTACTCCTCCTGTGATACCTAAATTCTTGAGATCTGTGTGGATGTCAGTGATATTGGACGTGTTCTCTTCATTTCATCATGTTTTTTTATATACCTCTGACCCTGACAGTGGGTTACTCAGACTCTTAACATTTGAGTTATTATTTAAAACGTGTCTAAAATAATAATTATTTCATCATTATTAAATACAAGTATTCAATAATAGTCATGGTATTTTAAAATGCAAGTGTACATTTATACCTACAGGGTTCTCAGGAAAAAGTCTACCCTCTCAGTTTAAATTTTAAGTATGAATCCTTTTAGAATACCTTCCTGAGTCCTCAAGCGCGTGTAGACTGTATGTTCATAAGTTCTGAAGGTGCCTATTGACACTCAGGCTTGCAACAGAAAGCTGTCTCCCATCTGTTCTTGAAACAGCCATCCACAGCCCCCAAGAGCAGCTCATGATGTAGGAACTGGGACAGGTGTTTTACATCAGTGAGACACTTTGAAATCCCAGTGGTATTATTTTGGAAACCTTGGAACATGAAATCAAGTAGTCACATTCGCAGGAAGAGCCCGTGTACTAGAGATAACATATGCACTGCAGTTTCTGAGCACCTACTATGCATGACATGCGGAACTAGGCACTTTATATATTTCAGCTCAAAGTCTTACGACAACTTGACCAGGGATAGATTGTCATCCCCTTCAAAGAAGTGATGAATGAGCAGTTTGCACAAGGACACGGGCAAATAAGAGGCAGAGCTGGTGTTTGAAGTGAGAGCTGTTGAACTTCAAAGCCCGGGCCCTTTCCATGACCCCCCAGCTTCTAGAGCTGTGTTCTCTAGATAATGTCCTAAACAGAACCGTGTTCCTCAAGATAATGATAGATGTTGCCTGTAAGAATGTCAAGTAATGTTTGGAAACACTAGCATTAAAAAGTTAAGCTTTATGTCTCCTGAATGTATTATTATGTTATAAATCTCTGAAAGATTTAGTGGGTAGCATTTCCTGAACTCTTTTGAACACCGAGTGCCTATTTTCACGAGATAACTGTTAATAACCCTCCGAAGGGTATTTTATAGAGTACCATTTGGGGCTATTGGGGCCAAATCCAAAAGCAAAATAGTGTCTTCTTCATCTTATAAAAATAATTAATTTCTGAAAAATTGAAAAGGGAGTTTTCCTTAGTCAAAAGCATAATTTCCATTCATTTGGATGGGAAAAAGGATGTGTCTGAGTCCCAGATCGACACCCATTTGTGTTAAAAATGACTAAATTATATTAAAGGGATATTTCTTCTGTTGAATGTTACTTATCAGAGTATAATTAAAAGTGTTTTTCCCTTTTGTCTCTGTTGGCTGTTTGTAGAGCAGTGGCTATGTCTACATGCAAAACCCAACCAACAGCCTCTCTCTTCGTTCTCATCTTGTCAAATGTTCTCTTGCCTGAGATCCTGAAAACTATCCCACCCTCCTCCTCCGTTAACTCTCCTTCAAATCTCTCCTCCCTGGGCTTCGACCATCCTGAGCCTTCTTCCCTCTCCGATCACCTTCTTCCTGAGTCGGGGGTTCCGCCTCCGTGCCAGGTACCCACCTGCCTTCTTCATCTGCCCCCAGAGTGACCTGCTGCTCCCTCATTCGCCCTGTGAACTGCATCTCCAGCCTCTGGTGCTCCAGACTTACATGTCCACCTAACGTGCCACTGGACACTCAAGTTCACCGTGTCTAAACTCAACTCAGTATCTTCTCTTGATGGTTCAACTCCAGATCCCGCTCCTCCTCTCCCTTCTCTGTGATAACCAGCATCACATTCCATCCCGTTGTGCCCGCTGAGACCTCAGTGTCACCCATGTGATCCCTGCCCCCATTTCCCCAAAGTCACCAAAGTCTGTTCATTCTACATCCACAGTGGCTCTCCCAGGGTTTCCGTCCTACCTCCCCTCCTCCAGACCCCTACTCCAGGCCTCGTGTCGTGGATGATCCCCTTCCTGGAGCGCGCTGGCCTCCCCAGGCCATCCTGCACGTCGCTCTGAGCTGGCTTTCTAAGCCACAGGTCTGGTCATTCCCGAACCTCGGATGGTTTCCTGTTACCCGCAAATGGATCTTTTATCCAGTCGGCGTTTAAGTCACTGGTAGCTAGCCTGAACTCATATATATTAAGTGCCTAACTCAGTGTCTAACATGTGGGTGCTCAAAAAATGCATTTTAGACTATTATGACTGAGTCCCCGCCAAGCCTTCCAACGTTGGCATGGAGTCTTTCACTCTAACTGTGCTTGTGACTAATTTCTTTCACGTTCCACATGTGGCAAAAAAAAAAAAAAAAAAAAAAAAGCCTTTATGTGGGCATAGAGCCAACATCTTTATGGACTTGAATTGTATCTAATAGTGAATTAAAAATTCACAGATGGATAACAGATATTTCGTTCTGTTGGCTGGAGAGAGAACGGAGAGCCCCAATGATCACAGTGGAGATATCCAGATGATTTTATAATCCTGCCAACTGCAGTGAAATTTGAAAGTAGGTGAGGTGCACCTCTAGCCAGCTTCCACCTCATCGCTTGGCTTTGTCCTGAGGCCTTTCACAACAGCCCTGGCTGTTTCTTGGCATGCATGCCTTGGTTCCGTGCATTTCTGGGCCCTTTCCTTGTGTTGGGAACTGTGCTGGGTTCTGGAGGCACAGCAGGGAAGAGGAGCTGAGCTCATCCTGAGTAAACAGGTCTCAGGACCGCAGTAGGGGTGGGGTGGGTATGTTAGATGTGGGGCTCAGAGAAGATTTCTGTAGAGAAGTAATATTTAATCGAGACCTGAGTGCTGAGAAGGCCAACATAAGGAAGTTCCGGGGCAAGAGCATTCCAAGCTGAGGGGCAACAAGTGCAAATGCCCCGAGGAGGGAGGAAGCGGAGCACCTTCTAGGAACAGTTGGAATTGCTGGGGAGCTGGAGGTGGCGAGGGAGGGTAGGAGATGAGGTCAGAGGGCTGGAGTCGTGCGCGCCATGGTCCAGAGTTGGCATTTTGTTCTGCTTATTGTGGGAAGCCAGCAGAGGACTTAGACGAATAATGTAATCTGAATTCCATCTTTAAAAGAGCACTCTGGCCCTGGCCGGTTTGGCTCAGTGGTTGGAGCTTCGGCCTGTGGTCCAGAGAGACCCGGGTTCGGTTCCCGCTAAGGGCATGTACCTCAGTTGCAGTTTGCCCCCAGGTGCGGGTGGCAACCACTCAATGTGTCCCTTTCGCGTTGATGTTTCTCTCCCCACCCCACCCCCCACTCTATCTGAACAAAAAATGGAAAAGTGTCCTTGGGTGAGGATAAAATAAATAAATAAGTAAAAATAAAAGAGCACTCTGGCTTCCGCATAGAGACTGGAGCACAGGGAGGCAAGGATGAGGGCAGCAGAGAGGGAGAGGCGGGGTCCAGTGAACGGGGTGGCGGAGGGGAGGTGGTGGGTTCCGGAATGGCACGTCTTGTAGTCCTGAGCACCCCTTGTCTTCCATCAACGCTCCTGTGAGAGGACTCACGGACGAGGAAGAGCATGTTTATAAAAAAGTTAATCACAGGGTGAGCGAGTCCTCTGGTCCACTAAGCCAGCTGAGATGCACGTATCCTTCATTCCTCACAGGGAGTGACGTTCCAAGGACAAGAATTTCTGCCCCTCCGGGTTGGTAGAGATAGTTTTGGTTTAGAACCCTTTCTGTTCTCTTAAAAAGTAACACCATTCAAACACTGATTCTTAAAAGGTGGCTTTTGCCCGCCAGAAATAAGGGCCAGTGTGGCTCACTTCCTCGTACCCCCTGCTTCCGGGAGGCAAATGCCCTTCACCAAGGTCCTCCGTCTCGAGATCTCGAGGATTTGACAAACTGCTGTTAAAAAGCAGTGGCTTACACACCACTTCATGTTGAAAGGAGGTGGGTTTCTACATTTAAATGCTTTCAGCAGTAACTTCCTTCCCTTCCCCTGGAGAAGACATCCTTGGCTGTTAAAACTCTCCCTGGACGGCAGATGCTACAGGCAGCAAGTGGTGGTTGTTCCTTAGTATTTATTGTCCCCCAGTGGGTGACAGTTGCTTCCTAACACTGTGTAAATTACATATTTGCTCTTCTTCTTTCCTTTCCCCCACCTTCTCGGCTACAGGTTCTCTCGGCGCGCGATGCGACAACTCCGGACAGTGCAGCTGTAAGCCGGGTGTGACAGGAGCCAGGTGTGACCGGTGTCTGCCAGGCTTCCACACACTCTCGGATGCTGGGTGCACCCAAGACCAAAGGCTACCGTAAGCACCACTGCCGCCCCCGCCACGGATAGCGACAATTATATTAAGTGTGTGACCACTGATAGTTCCCCAGCACCTGTGTGCCACACAGCTTTGAGAACCTGACGTGGGTGATCTCACGTAACCCTCGCAATAACCCTGGGATGTGGGGTTGTCATCATACTCATGTTAGAGATAAGAAGCTGGTACCATGCGAGGTTGAATCAGTGGCCCCGTGTCACTGGTGAAGGTGGACGTCATAGGCAGGTCCAGAGTCTTGGCTCAGGAACCCATGTTCTTCACCCTGACAGTAGCCACCCTTCAGGTGAACAAAGAAGGAGGTAAAAAGTCTTCAAATTCTCACCTGTGACTCGTTCCAACCCAGATGAACTTGCAGCAGAGAACCCATGTGCGTAGCTTTAACCCACTCAGTTTGGAGCAGCCTCGGCCCCTCCTCATGTTCTTTCCTGGAAGGAGGTGGAGCAGATGTGATCAATCACATGAGCAATCCGCAGGGAGGCAGAGTGGGCCTAGAGGAGGCGGGGCTGGGCAGGGAAGCCATTGGCTGGAAGGCTGCCCTTGGAGGAGCCATGTCCCCATTGCCCACTTTGTGCACCTCGCCCATAGGAGAGGCCTCCAGCCATGCTCCGCCTGCCCCAGTGATCACTGTCCCAAGCTCTCTTACCCTCGGGGCCTTGGCATAGATTGTTCTTCCAGCCTCCTTGCCCCCTTTGCGATGATCTTCGGAGACCCTTCCCTGGGCCCAGTCTCCTTTATGTGACACTTTTAAAACATGAAGCAGGTCATGCCACTTCTCTGCCTGTGACCCTCTGCTAGCTTCCTTTCCCACGCAGAATGAGTCCAGACTTCTGGCCAAGGCCAGTGGGGCCCTGCCCGATGCCCTGACCCTCCACCCTCAGGCATAGGCTCCCGGCAACGGCCCCCCACTGTCCCCCAGCTCCCTGCACTCCGCCTCACCAGCTTTCCCTCCCCCCCTCACAGGAGCCCTGCACAGGTGACCGGGCCTGGCCTCGAGCACAGTCCCTTCTCCCAGGGCCACACGGCCTCCTGGGGCTCCATCCCCGCGGCACCCCTCTCCTCACAGAGGCCTCCCCTGACCAGTCCCCATTCCTCTGTGTGCTGACTCTGTTGTTCCACTTCAAATCTCTTACGTTCTGCATGCGCTTGTCTGTCTGTCTGTCTCGCCCACTAGACTCTGAGCCCCATATGGCTCTGTCCTGTTCACCACTGTAGCCTGTAGGAGGAGGCACGTAAAGGGTGTTCCAGCTTGGCTACAGCTTCCCTCTGCTACTGTCACTGCTGTTCATGGTCAGCCCGGCCCGAGGCTCCCAGACAACAGCTGGCTCTCCCTGTCTTAGCATCCCCAGTGCTTAGCAACCAGTAGGTGTTGTGTGATGTCTGTCAGAGGGTCTAGATGAGCAGGATGGAGGGGCTAAGACAAGGAGAGACCATGGCGATTGGAAGGAGAAGATTGGGGAAGAAATCTTCAGGAAGCCTGACAGCACTTGGCACCTGGTTGGATGAGGAATGTCAGGGAGAAGAACAAGTCCCATTCAAGTTCGGGCAGGACTTGGATGGGGTCATAGGGCAGTCAGAGGAGGAGCAGATCACTGGAGCAAAGATGACACACTGGGTTCGGGACCCGTGAGGTAACTACATATAACTGTGCTCCACACTGAGTGACAGAGACCAGGGCTCTGACTGTCGGGGACCAGTGCACTGGTCACAGCGCTGATCTGCGCGAGACAGGAGATTGTGCCAACATTAAATAATGAAAGACTTGTTTGAGACAGTCTTGCTCCCCACAAAAACATCAGCCAAACTCAGCAGTTCCACTCCAGAGATAGGAAAGCACGCAGCTGCACAGAAGCTGTCCACGGATGTGCAGAGCCACGGTATTCGTTGTAGCTGAGCAGTGGAGACAGCGTAAGCGTCCGTCAGGTGACGGCTGATGGCCAGCAGGTAGTACCCACACAAGGACTGTATCCAGCGGTAAAGAAACGAAGTACAGGTACATGGCATGAAGTGGATGAGCCTTGGAAACGTACTCAGTGAAAGAAGCCAGACACGAAGGCCACATGGTGTATGGTTCCGCACAGAGGACAGGTACCGAATGGACACGTCCACGAAGACAGGACGTTGATTAGTGGTTGCCTCGGGCCGGGGTAGGAAATGCGGGAGGTTGCGAAGGGGCACAGCGTTTCTTCTTGGAATGATGAAAATACTCTAAAATTGTGGTGATGGTTGTTCAGCTCCGAGAATCTACGAAAAGCCATTGATCTGCACACTTTCAGTGGGTGAATTGCATAGCATGTGGGTTCTATTTCAATAAGGGTTACCAGATGAAGTCGCTAAATGGACTAAAATATCAACTAGATGGAATTGATCATGATGAGAGCAGACATCACCGAATCAAACAATAGAGAAACAAATAATAAATTATTTTTTAACTGTCAACTGCACCAGTCAACCGGACTACACAGCTCAGTGATGACTTTGGTTTACATTCTGGCACAGAGCCCCTCCCCTCTTTAGGGTTCGTGGACCCTAACAAACAGTTCGTGGACCACATAGACAGATGAGTCCGTCAAGGGGTGGGGAGACGGGAGCCTGGGCAGGGACAGCTAAGAGGGACCTCCTTGGAGAGGAAAGATTTGCTCACATGGGTGACATTGGCTTATGAACACTTGATCTTTCTGTGTATAGTTGCAAAGCCTTTGGAAACACATCCGTAACTTTTGTTTTCATCTTTCCCAGAGATTCCAAGTGTGACTGTGACCCGGCTGGCATCTCGGGGCCCTGCGACACAGGCCGCTGCGTCTGCAAGCCGGCTGTCACTGGAGAGCGCTGTGACAGGTGCGTGAAGTGTGGCCCCAGAGGCACAGCAGGGGGAGTCCCTTGACAACTGCATAAACCATCCCCCAGTGCAATCATGCAGAGGGGACACGTAACAGATGTGATGACCTTCTCCCTGCCCTCTGTCCTCAAACCCGAGGCTTTAAAAAAATGCAACTGCGGACCAGTTTTGCTCAGTGGTTAGAGCATTGGCCTGTGGTCCAGAGAGACCTGGGTTCGGTTCCCACTAAAAAAATGCAACTGAGCCTGCAAATCTCATTAAACTTCATGCTTCTGCTGGGGCCCCTTTGCTTCGTTTGCAGCACGGTCGAGGCTCAGGGCCCCAGTGAGCGCCCTTGCCAGCTGCCTCCACATCCCAGGTGCTCAGATGCACGGTGGTGTGCAGTGAGCGGTCACGTGACTCAGCTCGCTCCCAGGAAAGTCCTGACCTAATTAAACATGTTGGGAAAATTCCAGTAAGAGGGAATATCTCAGTGCATGGCCATATTTAACCATCGTGTGCAGAAAAGGAACCGCCCAGGGATGGCATGGTGGCTGCATGCACACACACGAAGCGATCGGGGGAGATGGGAGAGCCCGCCGGGCCCCCTGCCAAGCTGGGGCAGGTGGCCCCGTGAGGAGAGACCCACCCTTGGCTGCTCCTACAGGACATTCCTTACGTGCAAACTGCTCCACTTAAACCTCTGCCCTCCCATGAGACAGGGCGAGCAGGGGGCTGTGGGGTGGCCCCGGGGCCAAGGCTTTCACCCCATTTCCTTACAAACAAGAAAGCAGCTTGCTGGCACCCTGCCAGCCACTTCCACCTGGGCAGAGGACATGCCAGACACATTCTGAGCTCAGGTTTTCGGGGGGGGTCTTTGTGCTGAGGTGGGGTAAGGAAACACAGCGTAAGAGTTAAAAGAAGAGTCACCTAGCCCTGGTCAGTTTGGCTCAGCGGTTAGAGTATCGGTTCGTGGACCAGAGAGACCCGGGTTCGGTTCCCGCTAAGGGCACGCACCTCGGTTGCAGTTTGTCCCCGGCCCCGGTTGGGGTTGTGTGGGAGGCAGCCACTCGATGTGTCTCTCTCACATCGATGTTTCTCTCTCTCTGTCTTCCTCCCTGTCTCCCTCCAGCTCTATCTTAAGATAAATGCAAAGATTCACTTAAAAAATGTGTTGGTGTTGTTAATCCTCACCTGGGGATACTTTTCCATTGATTTTTAGATAGAGTGGAAGGGAAGGAGGAAGATGGGGGGAGAGAGAGAGAGAGAGAGACATGATGGGAGAAAAACACACTGATTGGTTGCCTCCCTCATGACCTGGAGGGGGGACGGGGATTCAACCTGCAACCCAGGCACATGCCCTTGACTGGGAATCAAACCCGAGACCCTTTGGTCAGTGGGTTGATGCTCTGACCGCTAAGCCAAACTAGCCAGGGCTAAAAATATTTTTAATTTCCAAATATAATCCAGAAATAGAAAGCCACATAAACCAAGGTTGTCAGCACCACCAGCTCCAGGAAATAGACCTTCGCTAAAAATGTGCCATCCCAATGACAATACCCTCCCTCCTTCCTAGAAGCAACCACTGTTCTGACTGGATGGGGATGGAACGAGAGAGCACACGGGGTGCCTGCTAAATAAATGACACCTGAAGCAGTCGTTATTTCATGGAGAAGGACGTAGCAAACTCAAATAGAGAAAAAACAAGTCCTTCCTAGCGCCCCTGCCCTCTCCTCTGAACCCCAGCATCTGGGACTCGTGGTCCCCAGAGAAGTCACTGGGCAGCTCGGGCTGGGAGAGAAGTCGAACTCCAGCCTGCACTTTGCTTTCGTAGAGAGCCTCTGGCCATCCTTTGTCATAGCCTCACCTGCCCCTTTGCCCAGTGGGCCGAGCCCGGGGGCAAGGCGCAGTGATGATGGGCAACACCTAGTGGTCTGGTGGGGCGGGAGCATTTGCCTTCCTTTCCTGGCCCCCACCTTCCCCCCTTTTGTCTCCATTAAGCCCTGGCTCTAGGTCGAGGCCAGCTCTGCACAGGCCTGCCCCCACCCCCGCACCCCCACCCCATGCTGTCCCTGTGACTTCCTCTCCATCCCTCACCAACAATGGGAAAATTCACTGCTTCCAAACCACCAATTCAAATATGATCCTGCTGTACTACTAGGAGGAGAGAAAGAGAAGGTTCCTCCCACTCTGCCGCGGGGGGGTGGGGAGGGGCTGTGACTGCCCCCAGGGGGTCTGGGGTGGGGGAGGGCTGGTACTATTTAATATTGACTACCTCTGGGAATGAACAGGGCGGGGTGGGGAGAAAGCAGAAAAGATGTCATCACAGTCCCTGCATGGAATACGAAATGACCTATAATGTCCTGATTTCTAAAACGCCACCACAGGTGTCGACCAGGCTACTATCACCTGGATGGAGGGAGCCCCGAGGGCTGTACCCAGTGTTTCTGCTACGGGCATTCAGCCAGCTGCCACAGCTCTGGGGACTACAGTGTCCATAAAATCACCTCTGTCTTCCATCAAGGTAAAGGCTTCTGTTTTCTAGAATTTTTGTTTTTAACCTTGTATAGGCTCTGTGTTTACAGATAACCGCCTGGCCATCCACAGACTGGGATTCTGAGTCACCTTTGGCAACTTTTTTCTAGCTTTTCATGTACTTTATTTTTACAGGGCAGTAAGGCAGACTCTGGTGTTTCGAAAAAGTTATAGCTGAACAGGTTACTCATACCAGTGTATGAATAACTTAAAAGAATACCTAAAAGATGAGGACCCGGCCGGTGTGGCTCAGTGGTTTGAGCGTGAGGGTGGTCCCATGGACTGACAGGTCCCAGTTCGATTCCCGGCCAGGACACAAGCCCGGGTTGTGGGTTTGATCCCCAGTAGGGGGCGTGCAGGAGGCAGCTGATTGATGTTTCTATCTCTCTCTCCCTTCCTCTCTCTTTAAAAAATCAATTAAAAAAATTTTTTTTTAAAAAGAAGTAATATATACGGAATATAATGAACATAACAGTCTGAGGAATACAGTAGACCCAGACACATGGAAGTAGGGCACAGACTGACATCCCTCAGAAGAGGGGATGGGGGGTGGGTGGGGTGGGAAGAGATAAACCACAGAACTTATATGCATGTATGCATGACCAATGGACATGGACAACTAAGCCGGGGACAGGGTGGAGGGGGGGGGGGTGTGGGGTGCCAATGGGGTAAAAAGGTAAAATATCTGTAACAAAAAAATAAATAAAAATTCATAAAAAAAAAAAGAAGTAAAATAAATGAAATTTCAGTGGCAAGCAAAGCCTTTATTATTGCAGAGAGAGAGACCAGGTTTTCATCTCCCTCACTTCCCATCCCCTTCTGTTTCAAAACCACAAACCATCATTCACTGGATTGGTGTGGGGGGTGAGCGTCTTCCTGGAATTCACATTCACTAATAATACTGCTTTCACATACATTAAATGAGATAATTTATGTGAAATTAGTTCCCAAGCTACAAAGCACCATAAAAAGCTGGCAGACTTAGATGATGCCAACTCTGAATTTCTCTTTGAACATACTGGACCCTCTCACCTCACTAAGGCCAGACGCTGTTTATGTAAATAAAAGAACGTTCCTAATTGCAGGCAGATGAAAAGGTGCTCTCTGGTACCAGAGATGCAAAGACAAGACGTCAGAGCCGCTGTGGGCGGGAGCAGGTGAAATGGAGGCCCAAGCAGAGCGGTGCCCGGGGAGTCTGGGGGACTGTACATGAGTGTGGACATGTTAAGAGAAGCCCACTAGCTCCTCGCCCCTGGAACTTTCTGGCAAGTCTCATCTCATTTATCTTAGTAGACGGTGTGTCTGAATGCAGAGTGTTTTATTTGTCTTCCAGATGTTGACGGCTGGAAGGCTGTCCAGAGAAATGGGTCTCCTGCAAAGATCCATTGGTCACAGCGCCACCGGGACGTGTTTAGCTCAGCACGACGGTCGGACCCTGTCTATTTTGTAGCTCCTGGTATGTATGGCGTTTGTCCTGTAGAAGCCAACTTGTGAGACTAGGAAGTGAGGATAGAAAGATGGAGCCAGAGAATGGAAATCACTTCACAGTGTTCGGGGCAGCACCGTCTGCGGGGGGGGGACCACTTCACAGTGTTCAGGGCAGCACCATCTGCGGGGGGGGGGGACCACTTCACAGTGTTCGGGGCAGCACCGTCTGCGGGGGGGGGACCACTTCACAGTGTTCAGGGCAGCACCATCTGCGGGGGGGGGGGGACCACTTCACAGTGTTCGGGGCAGCACCATCTGCAGGCGGCGGGGGGAGGGGGCTCAGCCCGACTGGACAAAGTCATGGCACAGTGGAACAGAACCGGGTGTCCAGGCGGACAGACCTGGGCCAGGTTCCTCCTTTAACCAAAGGGGAGGTTTCTAGGCTTCCCACCAAGACAAGATGTAGCGACTGCGGGCACATCTCTGAGCCTGTTGAAAAGCAGGTGGAAAAGCAAAAACCAGGTGTTTCTTAAAGCCTGAGCCAATTGCAAACTTTAAATATGTACATTAGTCTGTGGGGCAGAAAAGCTGGATGGCAAAGTGCTGGCGAGAATTCTGATCCTAGTCGTGTCCTTAGCGGATATGTGACCCCCGGGTGTACTGTCCTCCTGACCCTTCCAAACGTCAATCCTCTGAGCGGATCAGTGGGAGTCCTAATGCCCCCCTCCAAGAATCATGGCCATCCAGCGCGATGAGGTTGTGAAAGCGTCCTGTAGACTCTAACACGTTAGGTAGCAAGTGCCACTACTGCCCATCTTCCTGGGATCCCGAACCCACTGGTCTGTCGTAGGGCCCTGCGTGAATCATCTCATAGATGGACTGTCCGGTAGTGAGGCCCTCCTAGCATTCCAGGGACTACCCACCTTTGTAGCCGATAGCAGTCAGGTGCCATGGACTGGCCCTTCCGAAGGGTGGTTTGGGGCAGGCTGGCGGTGGGTGACCCAGGACTCCCACAGCAGTGGCCAACAGTAGTGCAAACTTGCCCACTTACTTGCTTCTCCGGTTTCACAACTGACCTCAATCTCTTCCCGTTCTATTTCACAGCCAAATTCCTTGGCAATCAGCAGGTGAGCTACGGGCAGAACCTGTCTTTTGACTACCGTGTAGACAGGGGAGGCAGACACCCATCTGCCCACGACGTGATCCTGGAAGGTGCTGGGCTCCGCGTCATAGCTCCCTTGATGCCGCTGGGCAAGACGCTGCCGTGTGGGATCACCAAGACGTACACATTCAGGTAAGAAGAGAGACTGCGGGTGGGTGGGATGGAGCGAGCGGTGACGGCCGTCCACTTCCTTGTTCATTCCATCATCAGTCACTCATTCAGCAAGCTTCCCAGGACCTTTTCTGTACCAGCATGGTGCTGTGTGCTGACACAGGCCCTGATCCTGCCCTCAAGCCCCTGACAGGCTAACGGGAGAGAAGAAGAAACACGTGGTTACAGTGCAGCTTAGAAGTGACGAGTAGAGGAGGTGGACAACGGGGTTTGGAACACAGATGGGCACAGCTAACCCACATTGGAATGACCGAGGGGAGTGTCTCAAGAGGTGTGACAAGTGAAGAGCAACTCTCCAAGGAAACAAAGGGGGAGGGTGACAAGGCAGAGAAAATGTGCCTGAGGAAGGCTTGTGACTTAGGGAACTCCTGTGACTTAGGGAGCTCCTGGTCGTTAACCATGGAGTAGGGAGAGGAATACACTGAGAAGGAGGTGGGGGAGCTCAGGGGACAGCCCTGTGCATGTGCAGGGGGTGGCACATTTCCTGTGGAATGGGGGTTTTGAATGGTGGGTAAGAATGACTGGGGGAAGGGGCTGTGCCTTCTAAGTGCTCCGGGCTGATGAGACGCTTGGAAATCAAGATGAGAAATAGGGCCTTGCCCTGGCCGGTTTGGCTCAGCGGTTAGAGCGTCGGCTTGTGGTCCAGAGAGACCCGGGTTCAGTTCCCGCTAAGGGCACGTACCTCGGTTGCAGTTTGTCCCCGGCCCTGGTTGGTCGTGCGGGTGGCAACCACTCAATGTGTCCCTTTCACGTCGATCTTTCTCTCTCTCTCTTCCTTTCTCTCCCTCCCACTCTATCTGAACAACAACAAAAAAACGAAAAAAAGAAATAGGGTCTTTGTCCTCCAAGAGGATGTGGTCTAGTAGAATGTATAACATGTCAAAAAGCAAACACAGTACCCTACAGAAGTTGCCTCAGGGGTGTGCATGTTCATGGGGACGTGGGAGGCGAGGGAAGAGAGCCTCGTTCTGCCTGGAGGAGTCGCAGGAGCTTCACGGAGGAGGCGGCATGTGGGCGGAGAAAGAAGGGAGAGCAGGACTTTCCCAGGGACAAAATCAAGACAAGCGGTACATGTCCATACGTGTGGGGTGTGGAAAGGCATCATGGGGGGGGGGCACTATTTATGGCCGCCACACAGCATGTATAGGGGAGATGGACTGATAAGGTTGAAAAGACATGGGAAAGGACCCACATGGTGGTCCTTGTGTGTCATGTCAAGGTGCTGAGATCTTGTCCGTGCCTGTAAGATAGCGGGAAGCTTATTGAGACATTGGAGGTCAAGCAGTGGTATGGTCAGGTGTGAAGGCTGGGTGCAAACCACGTGGAGGATAGTTCAGGTGGGGTCCTTACTCGGACCATCAGAACCCACGCATGGAGGTTCAAGCGGCGGTTGCTGGAGGCCTAACCCAGGGCAGCGGTAAGAGAAGCAGTTTGAAGTCCCACAGCACACACATCGTGTGTACTGGGTCGAGTGCAACTTATTCCAACGGCACACGCAGCTCTCCTGCCTGGAATACCAGCCCCACCTTCTCTGCGTGTTGCAGTTCCCTTTTGAGATTCAGCGGATAGGTCCTTCCTTTGTGCTGGCCTTCCAGAGTCCCAGGCGAATTCCAGTCGCCGCGTGCGTTTCTGTGGCATCCTGTACATGCATGTGTGACAGCACTCTGCATTGTGTCCTAAGTGTTTGTTTACCTACCGACTCCCCTGGCTGGGCGCTGATCACCTCACCCGTGTCTCTGTGGCTTCCCTCCTAATGCAGCTTCTGGCCCCAACCAAGTGCACAGTTAACTGCTGTTGCACGAATCGGCGAATGCAACGAAAGGGTTAGGGTTGTTCCCGGAAGAGCTAGTCCAGGAATTTAAAAAAAAGGTAAAAAAAGAATAGTTCACGGCTGGTGATGTGATGCATCACGATGCCTAATTAAGACGGATTCGATGTAGAAGGTGGAAGCTGACTCCTGAAAAGAATAAGTGAAATGTGCTCAGGTAACAAATTACTTAAACAACAAAGCCAAAATGAATGTCGCTCATCAGGATCTGAGTTGAAGAGCAGAGCTCTTTGAACTCAGATGTTTCCAATATTAGGTTACACGTGACCACGAACAGAACGTGGTCTGTGGACTTGGACCAGCACTAGATGCCATGAACCCTAGAGCTCGGCCCCCTAACTGGGATGCCCTCCATCACATCCTGTGGGGTTTGCGCTTCCCACGGAGTGAGAAAGCTCCACATCTGTGCCCACGAGGACGTGTCTGCTGGTCCCTTGCCCCCTACTCTGAGCAGGACTGTGAAGGGGCTTGGCTGTTGCCACATTCCTGGCATAACTTGTCTACGATTTGAAAAGAGTTGGATCTTGAAGCTTTGGGTTTAAATCACGCAGATTGAATGAACACCCCAGCAGTAACTGGAGCCCCCAGCTGAGTTACTTCGAGTTCCGGCGGTTACTGCGGAACCTCACAGCCCTGCGGATCCGAGCTACCTACGGAGAGTACAGTAAGTGGCCGGGGGAATGGAGCTCCCTCTTCTCAGGTGTTCACTGTTTGCTTCAGCCCTCGAAGGTCCAGCCACCCAAACAAGTAGCTATGCCCTGGCCGGTTTGGCCCAGCGGTTGGAGCGTCGGCCTGTGGACCACAGAGTCCTGGGTTCGGTTCCCGCTAGGGGCATATATCCAAAAAAAAAAAAAATCAAACAAGTAGATACACTACGTGATGGTTTCCACGCAGAGTTTCTACACTGCACGTTTCGGTTCTAGAAGAAGTGAGGAAAGAGGAACGTTTCCCTAAAGAGAGGCCAGCACCAACGGAGAGTGCGTGAGGCCGCCTGCTGAGTTCAAACTCAGGAAGCTGATGACTGGAGATAATCTGCAACAAACAGGCCACGCCCTTAGCCGGGAAACGGAACCTGTGCACGGACCTCTTTATCCCTGGGTGGCTCTCCCTCTGGGATTGTACTTGGTGCTGCGTGTTCAGGCATCACCGTGCAGTGTGTTAACTCCTTTCACCAAACGTCGCACGGGGGGCCTCCTAACCCCAGGGAAGTTATGCAGGGGAGCGTTCCTTCGCGTCCTGGCATTCCCGTGGGAAGGAGGCGTGGCGACACGCACTTTCCACGTCACCCGAGCAGCGGATCACGCAGGGCGTAGAGGGAGTTTCCTGGCACCGTGCTGAACCTGGACTGTGTGCCGAGCACAGTAACGCAGGCACTGTCCTCCTTAGTTTTCACAGCAAGCACGGGAGGTAGACCCCACGGTCACTTCCCAGTGGAGGAGACACAGTCGGGCAAAGGTCATGTGACCTGCCGGTTCCCACGGCTTGCGGGGGCGGGGCCAGAGTGTCAGCTCTGCTTCTCTGACCCTGGAGCCCGCGCGCTCATTCACGGCGCACTGCTGTGCCTCCGCGCGTGGCGTGGCGAGGCGTGGCGAGGCGTGGCGTGGCGAGGCGTGGCGTGGCGAGGCGTGGCGTGGCGTGGCGTGGCGTGGCGTGGCGTGGCGAAGGAGCACCGCCTGTGATAGGAAAGACAGAGCCAAAGAGAGGTCTGACTGTCGGCCTCTCCCCGCCACGTGCGCCGACGAACCCGTCCTCTGTTGTAGGTACTGGGTACTTGGACAACGTGACCCTGATTTCAGCCCGGCCCGTCTCCGGGGCTCCCGCACCCTGGGTTGAACAATGTGTATGTCCTGTTGGATACAAGGGGCAGTTCTGCCAGGATTGTGCTTCTGGCTACAAAAGAGATTCAGCCAGACTGGGACCTTTTGGCACCTGTATTCCCTGTAACTGCCAAGGGGGAGGGACTTGCGATCCAGACACAGGTGAGTGGCATGAACCCCTGGAGGGGGGGCTGGGTGCAGCCAGGTGACTGGGGTCTCCCGTGGATGAGAAAGACTGTGCCTGAACTCACTTCGGAGGCGGGGAACGATGAAGAGAAGCCGGGGTGGGCTCGGGGAAGACGGACACGGTGCTCTGTGCCGCTCAGCCCTTCTCATGGTGGAAACGCCATGAGGCCGTGGGAAAGGTGTAGGTTACAGGAAAGGCTGTCCTGGCTCAGTGGTGGCCGGGGGGAGCTGGTGTTGAGTTGCAGGAATTGTGTGGGGAGATCAAAGGCAGTGTCAGGGCCTGGCGGAGTGTGCCAACAAAGGGTGTCAGGCGTGGGGCAGGGGCCCCGTGGGAACTGCGGAGGGTAAGGGAGTGTGTGTCTACTCCGCATGGGAGGGTGAGGGTCAGATGCAGGTCCCTGCCATGTTTGGGGTTGGTACTGGGGCAAAGGTGAATGCCAGTAAAACACTTTGAAGACAGCTTCAGAAAGGAAGGCTTTGAGTTACTGAGCCCTGACCCCCAGACATGGCCCATGAGAGGAAGTGTCGAGTCCCCCCCACCCCCGCTCTTTGCCTTGCTTCTCCACCTTCCTCTGCCCCCCAGGAGAGTGCTACTCGGGGGATGAAAACCCGGACATCGAGTGTGCCGACTGCCCCCTCGGCTTCTACAATGACCCGCACGACCCCCGAAGCTGCAAGCCGTGCCCCTGCCGCAATGGGTTCAGCTGCTCGGTGACGCCTGAGACGGAGGAGGTCGTGTGCTATAACTGTCCCCTCGGGGTCACTGGTAAGGCCAGCGCCTGTGCCACTCTGTCCTGACGTCGTGAATTCCCCGGGCCGAGCTTTTATTCCAAGGGATCGCTAGGGAATTACAGTTGCGGAGGGTTCGTCTGAATGGGCTCATTCAACATAAGAAGATTTCCATGCCCGGGAGGCAGGTGGGTTGAGGAAGGGCTGGGCGTCCGGGAGGAAGCATCTCAGCTGTCTTAGGAGGTTTCTAATTAGCCGGTGAAGTTTTTGGACAAAAGACGCTTTAGGTCAGTTTTTACAAATGAGCCAAGGTAAAGAAGGAAAACTTAGTGACCTTTGAGATGTCACCTCTGTCTGCTGGTCAGCCCAGGAGAAGAGTTCGTTTTTCAGCAGAACCTTGGGCATTTGCTCCAAACCTGACTTTCCCCACCGTCTGGGTCACTGGGGGAAGCCTCCGCTGCTCCGTCTTCAAACCTGTGACCTCCTGCAGGGCAAGAGCCACCCCCACCCGGGGTCCTGCTCCTGGGGCTGTTGTTTGGGGTCCAGGGTGGAAGCTTCTCTAGCCGGTGACCTGTACTTTCTGCCTCTGCGTCTGATCTTGCTGCTGATGGGTGACGCCCTGGGCTTGGCCCTTTGTTCTTGCAGGGGCCCGCTGTGAGCTCTGTGCTGACGGCTACTTCGGGGACCCCTTTGGGGAACAGGGCCCAGTGAGGCCTTGTCAGCCCTGTCAGTGCAACAACAACGTGGACCCCAGTGCCTCCGGGAACTGTGACCGCCTGACGGGCAGGTGTCTCAAGTGTATCCACAACACGGCCGGTGTCCACTGTGAGCAGTGCAAAGCAGGCTACTTCGGGGACCCCTTGGCTCCCAACCCAGAGGACAAGTGTCGAGGTAGGACTGCGTCCCCAAACAGGTGCATGTACACATAAGCTTGCTGGTGTGTACACATGTAAGAATGTCCAGATCGGCAAGACCCACGGCAGGTACCATCGTGATACCACTTTGGTTTCTCTGACCAGCCGGCCCATGAACAGCCCAGACCTGTCGCCTGTCAAAGGCCTTCGACCAGTTCTCCCTGCGGCAGGGCTGGGACACCGCTGGCGGGTGTTGGACGGGTAAAGCTGGGTGGGAGACGCGAATAAGGACAGGTTTCCGTTCCCACGTGGGAGAGGAGATCAAGCGGGGCCGTGTGCTCTGCCCGGGCCCCTGGTGGCAGGGAAGTGGCCGCCCACCGGTGAGAGGGGAGTCATAAAGCCCGCCGCTGAGCCTGAACGAACAGGGGGAGGGTGTGGGCTGTACAGTAGTCTAAGGGACCCTCTCAGGAAGTCAGAGTAATTGACGCGGGGAAAGGTAACAGTCAGAACGTCTCCTAAGGAGACCGGCTTCAAAGCAGCAGCTATTGGGGGGGGGGGGGGGCATTCCTGATGCTGCTTCAGATCAAAGCGGATGTGCGGAGCGGGCCTAGGCTCAGCCCCTCGCTCAGAGCTCGGCGCAGGCGATACTCAAGGTCAGCGCTAGGGAGCCGGCCTCACCAGACACCCGTGGTGGTCCCCGACCAGGCCTGGCACCCGGAGCGTAGAAGCTTGTTTATTACAAAGTCTGGGGTGGCTCTGGGGACCCAGATTGGAGGACGTCTGGTTCCCCAGGAGGTCTTCAGGGAGCCCAGAGCCCCCCACTGACACCAGGGTCTCCACACCTGGAAATGCCTGACCTCGTGCACCCCGGGACCTCTACCCAGGGACACAAATCCCACTGGCCCCGACCCCAACCTGTGGGTTTGCTGTGGTGCGCTAGAAAGTTCCCTGTGACAGGGAAAGCCCGCAGGACGCTGGCAGTACTGAGGTCAAGTTTTCGGCATACCTATCATAACGTCCTGATTCTGCCAGTTAACTTCCGCGAGCTTCTTTCCAAATACGCATGACTAATATTTCACTGGAAGTCGTTGCAGAGGTAACACCGCATAAAGTATACTGGCAACCATGAAATTAACATTAATAGGGATTTCACTGGGTGTAAACCATGCATTTCTTCACTCAACTACCTTTTGCCAAGCACCTACTAGGTACCCAATGTAGAGCTCGCTACTAAGGTTATATTGATGAATAAGTCAGTACCAGCTCCCAAAGAGCTCATATGCTAATAAGGAAAATACAAATATGTGAGCAAATAATGACAACATAGTTAGATATGTGATTATCAGTACATGCTGAGTATTTTATGAGCACCCAAAGAATCACTGTACCTCCATTAGAATGATGTCTCATCCTCTGTTATATCCTCCGCTTTTAGAACAGAACGTGGCACATAGTAGGTGTGTAATCAATTTGACTGAATGAATAAAGGTGGTGCCTTTTACTGCATTGTATACATCAAAGGCAGCAGGACAGAAGGGAAAGAGCATTGGCTCTTTGCAAGTTCTTATTCCAGCTGGCCATTTACTTGCTGTGTGACCTTGGACAACTTACTCAACCTCTCTGAGCTCATATTCCTCATCTGTACAATAGAGGGAGATGTCCATATCTGGTACAGATTAGGCCAAGAAAAAATACTATTCACCTTGTGAGCAATGCCAGAGTACCTGCTGAACATGCAACAGGCTTACAATTTAACAGGAAGAAAAAAATAAGTGCCACCCAAAGGTTGGACTGTCGTAATATTTCTTCATCCACACGCACAGCAAACAAACTTGCCAGATGATTCCAGAGACCTCCCTGTGTTAGGAGTATGCTTGGAGCCATAGCCAAGAGATAAATCGAACCCAGTGTGAATCGATGGCACAGTATGAGTGCTGACGTGAGCTTCTTTTATTTCGCCACACCTCCAGTTTCTGGAATTAGCTTGACGCGAATGCTTCCTCTGTGTCTGTCTTTTGTCTCTAGCCTGCAACTGTAACCCAGCGGGCTCCGAGCCTGGGGAGTGTCGAGGTGATGGCAGCTGCGTTTGCAAGCCAGGATTTGGTGGCCTCAGCTGTGAGCACGCAGCATTAATCAGCTGTCCAGCTTGCTACGATCGAGTGAAGATTCAGGTGTGCATGCTGACCAACCCTCACTCTCACGAGTGAACTCTTTAAGTGTCTACTGGGTGGTTCTGTCACAGATCTAGGACCCTCCTAGGTTCCTTGGGGATGGGATAAGGGTTACTATTTTTTTCTTTTAAAATTACTGTATTAAAAAATTCTGTATAATAGTAATAATACTTCAGATTTGTGTTCTTATGTGTGTCATTTTCAAAACCCCGTTTGTAGATATTGTCTCATTGGATAGTTGTGATTGCTTAGTTAAGTTGGGAGAAAAAGCATTCTGACCTCAGTTTTTATTGAGCAAACAGCCTAAAAAAATTTGCAGTTTTTTATAGTCACATGCACAGGTAGAACTGAGAATCCCACCCATGTCCCCTGACTCCAAGTTCAGTGATCTTTCCACTATGATGTACCACTTCTAAGGATTTTTTCGAGAGGTGTCCTCATAGAACAAAGGAAGAAAAACATAAATGTACGAAAGCTCTGAGGAGTCCCGAAGGTTCAAGGCCATCTAAATAGGAATGGCTTCCAGAAACTTCTTGATAATGTTCCAGAGAAGAATGAAAGTGATGTTGTTCATTATTAAATATTGTCTTGCTGGAGTGAGGGGTGGGGAAGAAAAGGCCCAAATAGAACCCTAAATGTAGGACGAACTCAACCTGTTTTTAAAATGTATCTATTTAATCAGCCCTCTATAGGGCTGTTCTAGGCATTATACAAATCTTAACTCATTTAATACAAGTCATGATTCTATGAGATTATTATTATTATCCCCATCTTATGGATAAAGAAGTGACATGCCCAAGGTCACACAGCTAGTAAGTAGTCTAGGCCAGGGGTCTAGAGTCAGCTTTGAACCACCATGACCTGCTAAGCATCTCTGGGCCCTTTAGCTTTTGGAACCCGGTGTGCGAGCATCATCTGTTCTGATCCTCTTCCCTGTGGCTGCAGATGGATCAGTTTGTGCAGCAGCTGCAGAGCCTGGAGGCCCTGATTTCCAAGGCCCAGGGTGGTGGTGGAGGAGCGTCCAACCCAGAGCTGGAAGGCAGGATGCAGCAGGCTGAGCAGGCCCTTCGGGACATTCTGCGAGAAGCCCAGATTTCAGAAGGTGAGGAAGGCCGATTGCCCTTCGGCCAGGAGCGAATTCGTGGTCCCGGAAAGCATTGCCAGGCTAGGTCATGACTCTTCTGCGGTGTCAGTTCAGCAGGGATCTGTGCCCAGCCTTGCGGAGGGGGAGGACCGTCTGTGACATTCTCCTGGGTAATGCATGGTGGAGATCAAAGAGCAGTTGCCTGCATTCGCTTACAGGTTCCACTATTTTGCCAGAGGCCAGTCGGAGTCACTTTTTCAGCCCTCTAGTGCGTTTGATCACTGTGCTGACTTCAAAGAAGCTCACCCTCCCTTTCCTTGTTGGTGTTCAGGTGCTATGAGGTCTCTGACTCGCCAGTTGGCCAAGGCAAAGAGCCAAGAAAATAGCTACCGCAACCGCCTGGACAACCTCAAGATGACTGTGGAACGGGTTCGGGCCCTGGGCGGTCAGTATCAGAACCGCGTTCAGGATACGCGGAGGCTCATCACTCAGATGCGCCTGAGCCTGGAGGAGAGCAAGTCTTCCCTGCACAACACGGTAGGTGGCGCTGGGTTGGGTCCTGAGATCACCGCTGGGCCCACCTGCAGGCATCACCGGCCTGCTGGCCCTTCCTGAGGTTTTCTCGTCCAGCCGGCAGAGAGCTGGACTTCTCTCCCTCGAAACACTCACAACTGACTCTGTGCTCTTCAGCGTCCCAGAGTTTCCCATTTTGCTGCTTTATGTTATTCTCCCTGGTGCATTTCTTGTAACCACATCCCCACCCTGGGCCTGTCTCCTCTCCCTTCTCCGCGGCTCTCCTAGCACGCTAGCTCCCAGCGGGCGGGGCTCGTGTCCATATTTACAGTCTCGGTCCCTCGCACAGCGTGTGGCCGGGATGTTGCTGCATGAATGAATAGATAAACCAACAAAAGAACAAATGGAAAGAAAAGGAAGGAAGGCAGGGAGGGAAGAGAGAAGAAAGGAGCCCAATGAAAACATGGTTCTGAAAGTGGGAAATAAAAATCGTTGCCAGTGGGGGTGGGTAGAGGTGGAAGAGGGTATATGGGGGGTAAATAATGATGGGGGAAATAATAAAATAAAAATAAAATAAAGGGAAAAAAATGTTGCCCATCTGATTATCTTGATGATGTAGTTTGTAGTGCGGTAGGAAGGCGAGATTTGAATGAACACCTTTGTGTTCAGAATAAAGAAGGCAAAGTTGATAATTATGGACGTGTAGGTGAGAGATGAATAAGGGAAATGAGAAGAGAATCAGATATTAGGCTGAGGAAATGAAGGATTTAAAAAACAATGTGTATTCAGTTTAAAAATAATAATGTGCGTTGACTTTTTTTATTACAAAAATGATGTTTACTGTAGACAATTTTAAAAATCCACTTTGATCCCATTCCTAAGAAATAACCAACATTAAAACTCGATATGTATGCTACTGGACTTTGAATACATACGGAAGTAGAAACGTGTATATTTTTGATGCATCTCTTCCTATATCCAGACTTTTTCTGAACACGAATTTCAGCTTTATTCTTGTGTATACTTTCCTTATTGTAATGATCACGGTGACTTGGGACCCCGTGTTTCGTGGTGTAGAGGGCTGTGTGGTTGATGAGTGGTTCTGACAGGACAGATGCGGAGCCGGCTCCACGGCCAAGGGCAAAGCCTTAACCCCTTTTCCTTTTTCGCAGAACATCCCTCCCTCAGACCACTACGTGGGGCCAAATGGTCTGAAAAGCCTGGCTCAGGAGGCCCTGAAGTTGGCAAACAGGTGAGCGTGTTAGGGGTACCCCAGCTCTGCCAGGCCAGCTTCGACCCCTGCCGGGCGTGCAGCCCTCAGCACTACCATCAATCCCTCCAGGCTTGTTTTTAACCACTTGACCTTTCGTGTGTGTAGGTGGCCACTGGACACGGTCATTTAGCAGAAGCTGGGGGTCAGGGTGTTTCTTTCTCAGATTTTGCTGTGACTCATGACATGGCCTTGGTGTATGTCAGATGAAATTCCTCAGGCCCCAGAAATGAATCCGCCCTTGGAAAGGAACACTCTGCAGCTTTGAGGGCCTCCCAGGCTCCCACAGCGAGTCTGGGAACAAGTCGCAGTGGGTCTTTGCCAGCCCGTGGGGGCTAAGTCTGCAGAGGGGGGGCCTTCCTCCTGAAAACCAGCTCTGCTGGGCCCCCATGACCACAGGCAGCTCCATGTCCTTGCCGACTCTCAAAGCTGCCATGCTGGAGAGGCTGCTCTGTTAACCCAAAGGGCATTCAGTCTGCAGAGGGGCTGGCGCCGGCCTTTTAGCAGAAACTGCCTCCGGAGTTGGTGTTATCTCTTTCTAGAACCAGGAGGACAAAAGCATGTGGGGGCCTTTATTGACAGGCTTTGTCCCCCCTAGCGGTGGCCCAGTTTAGAGTTATAGCAAAAGTGAGGAGGGGGTTGGATCCTGGGTGAAATAAGAGCGAGGGTTTTGTGTGTTTTTTCCTTGTAGAAAACAGCTTACAAATGCAATATTTTATCGCCCTGATACTGTCCCAGCCACCTCCACCCTCCACCCCAGGCCTCTCCCGGGTATGCCATAAATGGAAAAGATCCCCAGAAAGCCTGTAGGACACCTTCGGCTTCTCCATAGTTCCTGTAATTCCACCAAACTGGGTCAATTCTATTTGACTTTGCTCCTCTCCCTTCATTGACATAAAAAGCCTCAAGGAAGCCTGCTCTGAAAACTCAAATTCTTTATTTTTGATTCTTTCAGCCACGAGGAGTCAGCCAATAGCATGGAGCAACTGGCCAGGGAAACCGAAGGCTACTCCCAACAAGCTCTGTCGCTGGTGCGCAAGGCCCTTCAGGAAGGCGGCGGTGGCGGCGGCGGCGGCCTGGACGGCTCTGTGGTGCAAGGGCTGGTGGGAAGGTGTGTGTCAGCAGGTCCTCACGGGACCAGTATCATCTGCAATGCCCAGGCATAATGCAAACCACGTTTCTTTAAAAAGTATATTAATAATAAGAGGGACAAGAGAAGGAGAGTGTTACTTTGAGGCAAAGCAGAAGCCCTTAAGGCTGGAAGAAGGAAAGGTTGGTTAATCTAAGTCAGGTTTGTGTTTTGATCGAGAGATTGCATGCTTGGAGATATGGTCACCTCTGTGGTGTTTGCAGGATGTGAGTACACCCATCTGGTGGCGTGGAGGATATGAGAATAATGTATTTATATCGTCAGGAATTGGGAGGCTTGGGTTGAATTTTCCTGAGCCAGCCTATGGCAGTTTTAAGGCTTATGTTCTGATGGTAGCGGGGAGCCCACATTTGACACACAACCTCATTTGGTTCTCTGATAATTCCAAGGACACGCTTTTAAGACAACAGGGTGGGTTTTTGCTTTTAAGAAAAAGAGTGAATCCTCTCCAAGTCTCTGTCTTTCCCCTCTGCAGACTGGAGAAAACGAAGTTGCTGGCCCACCAGTTGTCCAGGGAGGCCACTCACGCTGACATGGAAGCAGATAAGTCTTATCAACATAGCCTCCGCCTTCTCAGTTCCATGTCTCAGCTGCAGGGAGTCAGGGATCAGTCCTTGGAGGTAAGCACGTCTCACCTGCGTGCTGATTTGCAGAAGCGCTTTCTTCCCTGGGGGTTGGTTCCATAATGCGGTTCAATCATTCAGCTTTGTCTCCATGTTGACCTTTCTGGCTCAGATAAGGAAGGGTAAGTTTCCTTGTCATTATCTATTTCCTTGTTCTTTAACCCCATTCTTGGTCTTTGAAAAGGCCTCGGCTCACATCCTGAACCAATTAATGGATAAAAGTTTTATATCTGTTTCCTACTTCTGGGCACTACTGAAACCTGTGGGAAATTCTTACAGATACAATCTGATATTTGGGTGAAATCTGTGGTATATCTCTATGTATAGCTGCTCAGAAGACTTGTGCCCTTCTCTTTATTTCTGTCATCAATTCCAAACTTAGATGAAGAAGATCGGGCTTTCTGCCAACCACAAAGAGTTCTCACGATGGTTTCGGTGAAAATGTTCCCATGTATATATAAACTCAAACATAAAATAATAATAATCAAAGCAGACAGAAAACCTGTTTGAGGATGGTGGTATGGGTGGAAAAGGGTAAGGGGAGTAAGGAGTACAAACTTCCAGTTGTAAAATAAGTCATGGCCATGTAAAGTACACCACGGGGAATGTAGTCGGTAGTATCGTCATACCAGTGTATGGTGGCCGGTGATTACTAGACTGACTATGGTGATCATTTTGTAAAGCTGAATCACTGTGGTGTGCACCTGACACTAATATAATATTATATTTCAACTATAATTAAAATACTTTTAGCCCAGCCAGTGTGGCTCAGTGGTTGAGTGTCAACCCATGGACCAAGAGGTCGCCGGTTCGATTCCCAGTCAGGGCACATGCCCAGGTTGCAGGCTCGATCCCCAGTGGGGTGTGCAGGAGGCAGCCAATCGATGTTTCTGTCTCTCTCATCCTCTCCCTTCCTCTCTCTCTAAAAATCAATAAAAACATATTTTAAAATAATAATAGTAATTTTTAAAAAGAAGACCTGCTTGCCGCCTGGGCATCTGCTTTAGCCATTGTGCCTGTTAGACTTCGGGCCTGTATGGTTTTAAGTAATGATGGCAGCCCTGAGGGGACTGGTTTGGTAAACTGGTGAGCGGAAAGTCACCTCATCCCTTTCCCTGGCTCCCAGGAAGAGGCGAAGAGGATCAGAGAAAAAGCCGACTCTCTCTCGAGCCTGGTGACACAGCGTATGGACGAGTTCAAGCGTGTGCAAAGCAGTCTGGGAAACTGGGAAGAAGAAACCCAGCAGCTCCTGCAGAATGGAAAGAATGAGAGACAGGTATCTTTTGAATCCGTTCACTCAACAAACGTGTATGAAATGCCTACCATGTGAATACATGTGGGTGGGGGGGAAACACTGGAAGTTCTCTAAAAGGTTATGGTGCAGCTGCAGATAGAGGAGTAACTGATACAGAGACCTTGATGTGATTAGCTCAGCTCCGCCCACCGAATCAGCCTTCAAATATAGGGATAGGACTCAGGCCTCCTGGGTCCAATTTTGGTCCAGCTCTGTCTGCTAGCTTGGCTTCAGGAACCATTCTTGTCTCTGACGGTGGACTAGAGTCAAGATTGTGCTCTGTGTGGGACCCTTTTGGGGCGTTGGGTTATACAGTTCGCTCTGTCCCAGGTTGTGGACGGCTTTGCTGCAGTAGCCCTAGACTCTTGGGTGAGTTATAGACCCTGTTGTCGCGGAGAAGTGCGCTGCAGGGGTTTTGCTGGCCGGAATGCCCTTCCCGGGCATATGTTACACTTACACGAGTCTTGTTTGTCTGCCTCCTCACAGCAATCAGTTCAGCTGCGTTCCCGTGCCAACCGTGCTAAAAGCAGAGCCCAAGAAGCACTAAGTATGGGCAATGCCACTTTTTATGAAGTTGAGAACATCTTAAAGAACCTCAGAGGTGGGTAGTTCCTGCTTCAGGTCCCGGGAGCGTTTTAAAGGTGTCACCCTGACTGCTTTATTTTGAATCCTCATCTCTCTACGTGATAGGAACATTGGGAGTATTAATAGACAATAAATATCTTTCTAAAGAAGATGTTTTCATTAATGTTTGATACAGGGCAAAGAATTGAACTAGATGTCATAAGGCTTGAGGTCCGACCTCTGCCAGGCCCTGTGACCAGGCTGAGCTGGTCCAACCTCTGCCAGGCCCTGTGACCACAAGTCACATAACCTTTCCAGACCCCTACTTTCTGTTTAAAGGAAGAAAGTAAAGCTGAGTGATCTCTAAGGTCCTGCACAGATCCAACATCCCAGTGTTGTACAGATATTTTTTTTCTCTTTTCTTTTCTTTTCTTTTCTTTTCTTTTCTTTTCTTTTCTTTTCTTTTCTTTTCTTTTCTTTTCTTTTCTCCTTCCCTCCCTCCCTCCCTCCCTCCCTCCCTCCCTTCCTTCCTTCCTTCCTTCCTACCTGTCTCTCTCTTTCATCCCTCCCTCCCTCCCTCCCTCCCTATCTTCCTTCCTTCCTCCCTCCCTCCCTCCCTTCCTTCCTTCCTTCCTTCCTTCCTCTCTCTCTCTCTTTCTCTTTCTCTCTCTCTCTCTTCCCTCCCTCCCTCCCTTCTTTCCTTCCTCCCTCCCTCCTTTCCTTCCTTCCTTCCTCCCTCCCTTCCTTCCTTCCTTCCTTCCTTCCTCCCTCCCTCCCTCCCTCCCTCCCTCCCTCCCTCCCTCCCTCCCTTCCTTCCTTCTATTTTTGTAGCTGGTTGGTTCCAACACAGGCCGTTTTGTCACAGCATCCAGCTCCCAGGAAGTTTGGGTTTCTGCCTTAGAGCTTTGGTTAAAGTTTTCAGGCTTCTTCACTAAAGAACAACAACACTGATCCTAAAGCCCTGGGATTTCCCTCACAGAAAGACCTGTCTACCTGTTCTCTCCACCCCTTGACCATGTCACTGGCCGCTGAGGGTTTCAGGCTCTGGCTTGAAGCGTTGGGCTTCAAAGATGTCTCGTAAGTCTGTTTTCACCTTCCTGGCAATGTGTCCTTATCTTCATTTCAGAGTTTGATCTGCAGGTTGGAGACAGAAAAGCAGAAGCTGAAGAGGCCATGAAGAGACTGCCCTACATCACCCAGAAGGTGACAGATGCCAGTGACCAGACCCAGCAAGCAGAGGCAGCCCTGGGCGGTGCTGCTGCTGATGCCCAGAGGGCGAAGACCGCAGCCAGGGAGGCCCTGGAGATCTCCAGCAAGATAGAACAGGTACGCAGGCGGCTGGAGCAGCTCCGCACACAAGGCTCCTTGGAACAGGAAGGAGCACTCATTCCAGAGCATTCCAGAGCACTCCAGAGCATTCCAGAGCATTCCAGAGCACTCCAGGGTTCTTTTGACCTCTAGGGCCGAGTCCTGGTGTGGTCCGTGGTGGCCCCGCATCCACGTGGGCGCTCCTGTTGTTGATTGATTCACAATCCATCACTGACTGAGGGCTAGAATCCTTCATTTTCCGCTCCCTTTTTGGACAACACCCAAGATTATTTTTATAGAGACTATTGTATTAGTTTCCTAGAGCTGATATAACAAAGTACTATAAACAGGATGACCTAAAACAACAGAAGTTGATTTTCCCACAGTCCTGGAGGCTAGAAGTCTGAAATCAAAGTGTCAGCCGGGCCCTGCTCTCTGAGCCTCTGGCTACTAACGTTCCCACTGGTGGCGGCTGTCGATTCTTACTGTTCCTTGGTGTCCCATCCAACATCACTCAGTCTCTGCCTCTGTCATTTCATGGGGCTCTTCCTGGGTGTCTCTGACTCTTCCTTTAAGGACACCAGTCATGTTGGCTTAGGGGGTACACTCTAATGCAGTATGACCTCATCTTAACTAATGACATCTGTAACAACCCTATTTCCAAATAAGTTCATGTTGTGAGGTTCTGGGGGCTAGGGCCTTACCATATTTGTCTTTCAGTTGGGGGAGGGTGGACACCCTTCAACCCATGACAAGGACCTTCAGTGTTTTGGTTCCAGATTCTGAAATTCTGGAGTTCTTGGTCCCTCGTCTCTGTTCTCTAAGCTCCACTTACTCGTTTTTCTCTTCTCTCCCTCTGTGGGCCAGTGCTTGGTGCAGGGGTGTGGAGATGAGAGAGACCCAGTCCTTCTCTTTCAGGAGCATTTGGTAATGAGGAGAGACAGATAAGTGACACTTACAGCCCCTCTGTGAAATGCTCCACGAGGGTGTTTCCCAGCCGCGTGAGAGCTTCGTAGTTCTGATTTAAGCGTGGCTTCTACAGAGCCAGCTCACCTCTAGACAGCCCAGAGGGAGCGCTTGATATCTGGCCTCACTCTTGGACCACTTGATAACTTGCGAAATTAATCTCTCATTTTAGGTCCCTTGATGGTAGAGACCAAGTTCATGTGTCTCCCTTTCTATGGCTTCTAGCACAGAGACATTTGCAATTTAGTGCTCAATCATAGCTACTGATAAGGTTTGTCCTAATAAAAACAAAACTCAGCCCTGGCTGGTTTGGCTCAGCTGTTGGAGCGTCGGCCTGCAGTTCAGAGAGACCCGGATTCGGTTCCCGCTAAGGGCATGTACCTCGGTTGCAGTTTGTCCCCGGCCCTGGTTGGTCGTGCGGGTGGCAGCCACTCGATGTGTCCCTTTCACGTCGATGTCTGTCTGTCTCTCTCTCTCTCTCTCTCTCTCTCTCTCTTTCTTTCTTTCTTTCTCTCTTCCTCTCTCTCCCTCCCACTCTATCTGAACAAAAAATGGAAAAAAATGTCCTCGGGTGAAGATAAAAACAAAACTCAAAGCTGTAGTCCATTCTCAGGACCCCACACTCAACTCTCTCAGGGAATAAAGTCACTGATAAGACTAAGGCAGCAAAGAAACATGACAGAGAATGAGATGAGCTTCTCATCCTCGGGTTCCCCAGCTTGTTCCCATAGTGCTCACCATTCGGTGAGCGTTGACTTGGGAGGGCAGCAGTGTCTCCGTGCTGACCCTCCTAGTCCCCAGGCACACACCCCAAATTAACTTGTTTGAGGCAGAGCTTGGGAAAGGGTGTGTCCCCAGGGCGGACTCTCTCCTTCATCTCACTCCACCAGGGCCTGGCTGCAGCTGTATTTCTTCTGCAGTTACCTTTGGAATGTTTCTGTACCTCACCCCTCTCTTTCCTTCCATCCATGGCTCCTTTTCATCTTCCAGGAGATAGGGAGTCTGAACATGGAAGCCAATGTGACAGCAGATGGAGCCTTGGCCGTGGAGAAGGGGCTGGCCACTCTGAAAAGCGACATGAGGGAAGTGGAGGGAGAACTGGCAAGGAAGGAGCGGGAGCTCGACATGGATGTGGACGCGGTGCAGATGGTGCGTTCTCGTGGCTGTCCCTGGGCGATCCCTGTAACCTTGCCAGTGCGGGAAACACCCTTTCAAAATGAGTCTGGGTGTGTTTTTTCTCAGGTGATTACAGAAGCCCAAAGAGTTAACAACCGAGCCAGTAATGCTGGTGCTACGATCCAGGACACACTTGACACCTTGGACAGCATCCTACACCTAATAGGTATGTAGAGCACCCCCAGCTTCAGCTCTGTGCCCCAAGCCTTTCCCAGGAGACTAACCAGACCCGGCCCTGATGAGTGGGAGTCTCAGCTTTCCTTAAGGGTGTCAGGAAATTCACTTTGTTTCCAGGCCCGGGTACTTCGGGCGGTCTACCGTATGTTTTCTGGACTCTGTGTTAGCCTCTCTAAGATGGGTCACTGAGCACCTGTTTCTCTTGGACGTGAAAGTCTCCAGGCCAAAGAGCTGGATATGTTTAGGGAAGGTATATTGAAGCTCAGATCGGTTAATAATGTCCCACGGATCACAAAGTAAATAGTGGAGGCAGAATTTGAACTTCACAGCTGAAGAGAAGACTGGACAGCTGGCCAGTCCTGCTAAGAACTCTGGCCTTGATCCTGAGAAGCTAATCGACAGCTACAAGCAGAGGAACACCGTCATCACTGTATATTTCAGACAGGTCACGGGGTGGCTGCAGAGGGGGCTTGGAGGCGGGTTAGGCGAAGGCAGCCTGAGACTGCCCAGGAGATTGTTGAAGGAACTGGGGGGAGAGATGACGGAGCCTTCTCCGAAGCAGTGGAAATGGGGAGGACGGAGGATTCTCGCAGTCTGGGGAGTCCAGCATCACGAGCGGATTCTGCTGTGTGTCCCTCCCCAAACCAGTTACACCTGAATGTAACCAGCTGTGGAGACTTGAGCTGCCTGGTAGATGACCCAGAAGAAATATGAAGGTGGTAGGTCCATGAGATACTGCACACGTGTAGGATAAATAGCTTAGATGTTACAGTGGGACAACAGACCGGGTTTCCCCACAGATTCTTTCCAAAAGAAAACTGATTTGAGTTAGAATCCTGGATTTAGGTGGAACTGAGATCGTGCTCGCACTTGGCCTGTTGGATCAAGCTTGGACCACAGCAGACAAGCAACGAGGTATTTGGTCATAGACTCCAGCCTCCTTCAGGAAAATCATGCTTCTACTTGTTTAGTTCAACAGAACAACTTGAGAACCTGATGTTTCTGTGGAGTATCATCCACCCTGAGAGACCAGTATTGTCTGTGTTGTTATCCTAATGGGTCTGCTTTGTGATCCAATGAGCCTCAAAGAGTAAAGTACCCTCCAAGGGTAAAAAACATGATCCAGTTGAGACTTTTAGAAGGTTTGTTTAGTGTTCTGTGAAAGTAATGAGACCAAGAGGGCCTTTAAGGAGAAAATGAGAGTAGGGAGAGGCTGGTAGATAACTGGTAAACCAGGCACAATGCCAGGTTTTTCATGGTATAATATCATTTAAGTCTTGTTATGGTCCTGTGAGGTGGGATTTATTATTTTATTTCACAGAGGTATAAACTGAGGCACAAAGAGGTTAATAACACCCCCTGGATCACACAGTAGGTTGTGGAGGCGGCATTGAAGCCCAGGTCTCTGTCCAGCGCTCCTGCTGTTTGGAACAGCTCATGCTGCCTCCCCAAGGACATCGTTATTCTGTCCCCAATCTTAGGCAACTTTCTCTGCATGTCATAGGACACTAGATTTGTGAATTCTCCCCTGCCCCCAGGTGAAGGATTGATCCACTTTGTTAGGGTGTTGTTTCTACTCTATTTGCTGTCTTCAGTCCTGGAACAGTAGCATTTTAATTGCTCCAGGTGTAATAAACTCATGCAATTGGATGCTATCACTCAGCTTAGATAGGTGAGGCCACCAGACCTTGACTTTGAACTGACCAAGGGGCGCTGAGACCTTTTCAAACCAAATGAGTCTGGCCAGGTGCTCGTGATGCCGAAGTTAATTTTAGATCGCTTATGGGGGAAACACACCTGAACAACTGTGACTGCATTTCATATTGGAAATAAACCAACATCTGGCTGGATTCCCGGTGTTTCAGGCCAGCATGAAATCATGCGTCATGTCCTAACAGCTGGGATCCATCCTCCCAACAGCAGAGCAGAGCTTGGCCTCTATGAAGCTGAAGCCCAGCCAGTTTCGGAAGGTCCCCCAATGGGAAGCAGCAAGATACCGCTGAAGGTGGCGCCGAAAGCTTAATGTGGGGTTGATTCTGATCCTAGGGTGAGCTCAGCTCCGCATGACCTTCAGCCGTATCTTCTCAGAGCATGCTGACGCTAATGTGAAAGGAGAAATCCACGCTTCGTATTGCTTCACTGTAGCGCTCAGAGGCTTGGACAGGGCGTTTACCACACAGTAACTCGGCTAGTGCTAGCAGCACTCTTTCTGGATTATTTCTAGTTTACAATCAGCCTTTTAAAAACACAGGGCATCTTATTTGCTCTGGGCAGGGGAAAGAGGAATTAGTCAAGGGTACAGAAGGGCCCGTGTATGTTTAAGGGGATCTAACCCACAGCTCTTCTCTGTTAACTCCTTTCTCATTCTCTGTAACAGACCAGCCTGACCATGTGGATGAAGAGGGGCTGATTTCATTAGAGCAGAAGCTTTTCAGAGCCAAGACTCAGATCAACAGCCAGCTGCGGCCATTGCTGTCAGAGCTGGAAGAGAGGGCAGTCCGGCAGAGGGGCCAGCTCCGTTTGCTGGAGACGAGCATAGATGGGATTCTGGCTGATGTGAAGAACTTGGAGAACATTAGGGACAACCTGCCCCCAGGCTGCTATAACACTCAGGCTCTTGAGCAACAGTGATGTTGCCATAGTGATTTCTCAACTGAGGTTCTTGGGATACAGACCTCGGGGCTCAGGAGCTATCTCATGAGGGTGGGGTGGGATGTGGACATTTGAACATGTTGTCAAGGCATGCTCAGGTCAACTGAACCAGACCCCATCCCTGAGCACTTGGCCAGACAAATGTCTTATTGCACCAATGTGATACTCTTTGCTTCCTGGACAGTGAGGCAAATAGCATCGAGTAGGAGACTGACCAAGGGCCTGGACCCCAAGGGTAGACTGGATGGAAGGACAAAATGTACAGGCAGATGACTGTCTCAGGATAGGCATAAACTGAGTCCTGGACCACGGACAAGTGCTGCTCATTCTTTGAGTAATGTGACCAAAGGAAAATATTTTAACTTCGCTCATACATAAAATTCTTCCTAATGTCAGAACAGAGAGTGAAGTCCAGTCATACTGTGGCCAGTAAAGTGCTATGGACTCATCGTGCCCGGTGTTCTTGTTGACCCGAGTCCCTTCCACTTACCACGCGTATGTTGACCTGTGCTCCGCTTTCAAGCTGGAAGAAGTGAACCGTGCTGGAGGGAGGGCTGCAGGGCCAGCCCCTCTGGAGCAGCGACGCTGGTGCCCTGCTGCCTTCAAGTCCTCCTGGGCCTAGAGCACAGCCTTTCTCCTGATGCCCCGGCATCGCCCCTCCGGCACCTCCTACTAGCAAAGCGAACACTGGCGACTCACGTTTGGGTTTCAAAGTGGTAGAACAATGTAGCTTGGGTGTTGAAAGAGGTACAATATTATCTAGAAGATGTATTAGTCCTAATTCAATTCCACTTTTCAAGCATTAAAAATTGTCTGCCCCTCTGTGTTTTACCTTCTCTCTCTCCCTGTAGCAGAGAATGTTCCTACTCACATTGAGTTGGGTAGAATTCAGCCTTCCATCCATCCTTCCATTCATCTTTACAACATATATTTATTGAGGACCCCCTGTGTGCCAGGGGCTGGGGTACAGTGGTGACATAGTCTCTGCCCTCGTAGAGTTGATTGTCTAGTGAGGAAGACTGACATGAAAAAAATAAATTTAAACTTACAAATCTTGTTGGTCACAAGTGGTGTTTATTGCAATAACCATCTGGTTTGCAGCCTCTTTTCTCAACAGAACATGTGTTGCAAGACACTCCCTTGGGAGCACTGGGTTTTGGCAAAGCCGACGGCTCTGGGTGGTATGCTCCAGCTGTCCCTCTGCCCCTTTCCACAACCTGTTGCGACAGACTGTTGAGTCATGATAACTCCAGTGGGAATTGCTGGAAAAATCAGAGGCATTGCTGAAAAAAATCGGCTCGGAACACATGGTACTGCTTCACCTCTGTATTTCCTTGGCTGTTCATGAACGTGTTTTAAATAAAGAATAAGTCTTAGATGCCTGCGGTCGGTTCCTAATTTGTTAAACTCTAAGCCTGAGGGGGCGGTCCTAAAACCATGGAAACCGAAATACCACAGAAAGAGCAGGAAGTCCTAGAGTTAGCATCCTTAATTATTTTTATTATTTTTTTCTTTATTTTTAGAGGAACAGGGAGAAAGAAACATTGATGAGAGAGAACACCAATTGGCCACCTCCTGCATGCCCCCCACTGGGGATCGGGCCCACAACCTGGGCATGTGCCCTGACCGGGAATCGAACCAGTAACCTCTTGGTGCACGGGTCGACACTCAACCACTGAGCCACACCGGCCGGGGCCTTCATTCCTTTTTCTGAGCATCTTGTCTGGCCCTTTGCAACCATGAAAGTGCTATGTGAGACCTAACTGGTACTATCTCTTAAGCATGAAGAATTCTGAGACACCCTGATCAAGGTGGGGGTTTCATTTCGGTGAATATGTTTGTCTTCTTTATCAGCTATGGAATACAGGTAAACTTGGTAGCTTGTGGTACATTGCCCATGCTCTCTAATCAATTAAAATAGAATAAATTAAGATTCTGAATTAGCCATCTACCCAAGTGCTGAGGATGCATTCTGCTCCTGTCCACAGTGATACACAACCCCGCCCCCCATGCCCACTGTGACAAATACTGACAGGTCTGATCGCTTTGCTTTACCTTCCATGGAAGTGAATGTATAATCCTGTCTTGACATACTCGATCACATATTCTGCAACTCTCTTGCTCTAATTAGTGCCCAGAAAATGTAGGTGTATTAATTTGATTAGATTGACTATTATATCACATGGACCTAAAAAGGTGCATAACTCAAACACAACAGATGCTTTTTCTTGCTCTCATGTGTGCTGAATAGGGAGGAAGTTGGTAGGACGGCTCTCCACGTAGCCATTCCAGAGGCCCTGCCATTTATAACATGGGGCTTTTAGGATCACCCTGGGAATCAGCTCCATTCCAGTGGGTGGGAGGGGAAAAGACATGGAAGGGACACGTGGAAGGTCTTTGAGGGCCAGGCCTTGCAGGAGCTGTAGGTCACTTTCTCTCACAGTCCATGGTCTAGACCACATCTAACTTGTAAGAGTGCTGGGGAATATGTCCCTTTGTAGGAAGCCACTGCTCTGTGAAAAGTCTACACCAGGAAAGGGGACAATGCATCGTTAGTGATTGACTATCTCTGCTGAGGATAGGGTGAGGCAGTGCATTAGGGAACTTCGTGAGGGATCCCATTAGTTAATCACCAAGGTACATGCAATCATAAAAGGATTCCTCAGTGGGACAGAGTGTTAAGAAAGTCATAAGACTGTCTTTCCTGGGAAGAGGTGGCAAAGGAAAAGTGACTCCCTTGGTTTAGAAATGCTTCCTTTATTTCTGAGGTTCTGACAAATTGTCCCTAAGAGTGAAGAAGCATGTGACTTAGAGAGCCTCCCAGGGACTTAGCCTCTGTCACCAGGCTTGTCCTGACTCTGCCTCGTTAAGGGACCTTTTCTTCCAATTTCCCATCAGTATTTGCAACTTGTCGCGAAAACTTTCTTACACTCCTCTGAGAGTTTGCTGATGAGATGTGCCGACAGTGGGTGATGACACGTATCACCGTCTACTTTGACCCACGGGGATTTCTGTGTGGAGACAGGGGTAAGAGTGAACTGCCCACGGACTAGAACTTCTTAGCAGATGTATTTCTGGTCTTATCCCAGGATGTGGTTTCCTTTTGGTATTCTCGAGAGGCTGGAGAGAAGGGGAGGAAGATACTCGGTCATGTCCAATGTTTGGAACAAGTCTCAAGGACCAGGAATATGTTTATCGTGTCTTCTTCTAATGTTTTGCGTGGTTATGGGAATGTTATGGATTCTTGCTGTGTTCAGTTTTCCCACCTGGAAAGCAGAGATTAGATTTTTTTCCCCCTCAGCTTTTGTTATACTATGGGCTACATGAAACCTCCCAGGAAATTCCAAGATCTGAAGCTTACTTATGGGTCACGAGGGAAGAAATGTGTACGTACATATATGTTAATTCATATTTAGAATATCTGTTTGGTAAGTTCGTGAAAGTTAGCATATTAAACCAGTGTTTATGCCTTATTTTAAACAAGTTCTCATCATTATATACTTCCAGGACCAAGAAAAAACTGTTTAGCTTTGTGCCAAAACAGCAAACAAAAATACAAGTAATCAATTTCCAAGGCATATGGAGCATTGCTGTCCTGTGCCACCAAACCCACACGACACACACACAATACCTACCATCTCAATGTTAAACAAAAAATACTAAGACCTATAATGATTTTTTGAGAACACACACACAACGAATCTGACAAACAAGTAGCTAAGCCTTAAATGAGCTCCCCTGACAGGAAACTGCTAACGGCTGATACCAGCTCATGACAATCACCATTTAGACCTAAGCCAAATACATCGCGTATGTCACAACTAGAAATGACGTACGAGCTGAGCTGCAGCAGGATTGGGCAATCAGATTACTCATTCTGTGCTTTTTGACAATGCCAAAACAACGTGCGAATTTAGCAACTCCCGTCTTACTTAAGATCTTTTATGCCAAAAAGTCATTTGAGTTTTTAATTTTCAGAAATGAACTCATTTCATTAAGGAGCCAAAGCTAACCAATACCTGACTATGCAGATTTTTGTTTTTGTTTGTTTTTTCAACTGAGAAAACTCAGGCACAATTCACAAAATCGCTAATAATTCTCCCCTGCTTATGACCCTTGGATGTGTTTGCATATACTTTCATAAACCAGGCAGAAAAATCTCCTGCTCTAAGAACATTTTACAGCTGTCACCTCCTGACAAAGAGGACTCTGAAGAAAAAGTGATTAATTCTGCAACCCGCGGAGAAGATTCTAGACCAAGACACGAGACTCTAGTAGCATTGTCTTCTTTATTAACAGAATTGAAACATATTGCTGATAAAACTTTCATCTGTGACTATTCTAAGCAACAAAATTTCACTCAAAATATTTCACTGTGAAATGGTGTTGCGACTCGAATGTAGTTTTTATTAATGAATTGGTTTCCATAAAGCAACTCTTACTCTTAAAAGTGGCAGAATCAGTGACCAAAAAGTGATTTATAAAAAAAAAAAAAAAAGCTTCCCCCTACCCATGCCAATTCTTGAGACCTCCTGGGTCAAGCTGAGTTCTGGGCCCCGGGGCTGAAGCGGGAGTGTAACTCAGCCTGAACTAACTGGAACAGGTTAATAGGACACTCCCAATGGACACAACAAAGAAACCATGAGTTGAGATGACTGGGCAGCTATAGGAAGGTGCAGACTGGATGAATTCAACAAAGCATCTTCGTCATCATTGCTACAATGCTATTCCTAAGGTGTCCTAATTGGATGAGCTACAAAACCGGTCCCTGCTTCCATCTCTCCATCTCCCCTGCTGGCCTTCCTGCAGTAGCCGTGGGAGAGATTCTGAGCTTTTCATAGTCCGTAGGTTGGTTTTTGCATCACTCTTTTGACAACTAAAACATGAAACGTGTCTCTGTCTTAGTCCCCTAAAGTGTGTGTGTGGTTTGGGAGAATAGCTTTGGGCTAAGACACAGGTTGTTTTTTTCCCCTGTAATTCTCTGCCTTTTGCTGTGGATTGATTATTGGGTCTCGCTTTCTACTTCATCAGAACAGCAAGCACGAGACCAGAGAACTTTGGGGAAGGCAGGCAAAGCTGAGACCAGGAGGATGTGTCTGCAGCTCTAACTCTGGGGTTCAGGCTCTTCAGTAAGACTTCCCTTCCCTGTTCCTGTGTTCATTCAAGGGAAATGAAAGCAAGAGAGGCTGCCTGGGGGAGGGGAGGGTGGCAAATGAGGTACCAGCATGCAGCACAGACTGCCCCCCCACCCCCCACCCCCGCCCAGGGCCGTTTTTTAAAGAGACAGTCCTTGACACAAAGGGTTTCCCTCCTGCCTGTTCTTACTCATATCAGCCACTTTAAGGACAATGGGAGGCACATTTTTTCTTGGTAGACGGAAAATGCGACTCCAGATCCCTCTTGATATGATCACTCCAGCCCAGGCCTTTCCCATGACCTCTGAGCCATGCCAGTCCTGGGCTGGACTTTGCAGAAAGCAGCCGGACCTCAGAGGGGAAGTTAGCCTGGAAGCGAGCCTAGGGGTGCGTGAGGCACTACTTCAAACTCTGAATCATCTCTCTGGTGTTGACATTGGCTGGGTCATGGCCACAGTGTCCTGCCCTGGACTGAGAGAGGGGCTCTGACCTCTCCCTAGCAAATGAAGAATGGGTTAGAATGGGGAATGGACAATTCTACCCCAAAAGAGATTCACTTTTCCTTGTATTAAAGGAAAGCTATTGTAACATGATCCCTGTGATGTACCAAGATAAGACCTGCCCCATTTCATTCATAGAAATCCATTACTATTGCTCTTGTTTTTCCTCCTCAGCTCAGCTCCTCTCCCTTCCCATGGGTCTTCACACCCCTCACTGAGTGTATAGAGCATGGGTTGTGGGCTAAATGGCGCTTGACCACAGAGTCCAGCAGAGTCACAGAGTGGACCAAAGAGACTAAAGTTAGCTTGTCTTTCTCGGATCTGCTCATGTGGGTCCTCATAATAAACTCTGTCCATAAACTTCAAATCCTTGAGGACGCCCTGTGCCCCAGGGAACCAAGTTCTCTGTCCTCCTAGACAAAGGCTCTTCTGTCGTTCTCCCTCCAACACTAGTGTCATCTTAAGTATTCTGGGTCTTTCTCAGCCTTCCACAAAGCAATCCTTTCTCGGATTCAGAGAGTCACATTCTAGGATTTCCTCCAAGCTATTGAGATTCCTTGATTTCTAAGGGAAACCTAGTTACTGCCTCCCTCACCACATTTCCCCTCAGGACTGCCATACATAAAGTCATCAATAGGAAGCAACTGGGTCAGGCATAATGTAAGAGAAAGATGCCAGGTAAAGGCTGAGAAGAGTGGAAATCACCTATTTACCTGGTTAGTATCATGGGAGCCAGAGGGACAAGAGGCCATGTGATAACCTAAGGGTCAGGGAAACAATATCCTTTTTCCAGGCTTAATTCAGGGATCTCTTCTCCCTCATCTTTTAAAGGTGAATGTTGGGTCAACTAATCTCTGAAGTTCTTTTTATGAATAAATCCATGACCCTTAGCCAAACACTGAGACCCAAGAACAGGATTTGCCTTCTCTCCTCTGCAGATAATCCCCACACCTTCCTGGATGCTACTCTGCCTTGCTCTTCTGCTGAATCCAGCTCCTTATCTGGAGGCCACTGAAGGGTGCTGCAGATGTGAAGATAGTTGGTTCTGGTACCAGATCTCACCCAACCCCTCCTAGGCCATAGCTGGTACGAGATTTTGATAAAATTGTCCTGCTGCTCGGGGACCATTCCTCAAAGACAACCGGAAAGCCAAGAGCCAGAGTCTGCACGAGAGGCACAGTGCATGAGAGAATAATGTCCTTTGGCTCTTCAAGGACATGCATGGTGCCTGAACACCAGAACAGGGTCTGTCGGCGCCGGTTCCAGGGGCAGCGGAGGAAGGTGGGAAATCAGGGAGAAAGGGGTAAAACAGTGTATGGCTCTCGATGTCCCCCATGACCCCTGTTCTGTGAACCTACTCCTCCGCCAGGCAGATCCCCTCCAGCGATGACAGGGTCACTAGGCTCCGCAGGAGATAAGACCATCTCAGGAACAAGGCCAAGGCACTGCTTCTCAAGAAAGAATTGACCTTGGGTTGCTTTTCACCCCCAGCATTAAAAACTGTTACCCCAGCTGGAGAGGGCGAGGATCACCAACTCCCATCAGGGAAACAAAGTGCTTTCTCCTACGCCGTTCTGGATTAACATTCTGACACAGACAGGTCCCAGCCAAACAGGTAATGACTGCAGTTAGCAAAGACCCCAGGAGGAGTTGTTCCTAGCACGTTGTACTACAGCAGTGACTACGTTAGGACTTAGACGTGCACGTGTGATTCTGCTCGGATGCAGGAATGTAACCACGAAGGGCCTCCAGCGGCTTACGTGGTGATCTGAAGGATGCTTGGAGATGCTGGGCTGGCAGGAAGCCTATACTCAGCCACCAGTCACCGCCCAGAGCAGTAACTACACAGATGCCACCAGGAGATGGGGAAGGGCTGGCTGTGTGAGGCTCGGCCCAGAGCCCCAGGATGATGGTCAACTAAGGAAACGAACCCAAATTCTTCTAAGAAACCCTATTGTTCCCAGACTTGCCTCCCAGGTTTCAGAACTTGAAAGTCTCCCTCCTGACCCCAGATGCTACTGCTGCTGGGGGGAGGGGTGGGGGGAGTCGGGAGAGGGGAGGTGGCTTGGCCTTCTTCACTGGGCGTGGCCCTCATGCACCTGCTGGGCGAGGCTGGCCAGTGACCCATCACAGGGTAGTGATGCCAGGGAATGCATCAAGACCACAGACCTACAGAACCATGGACACAGCTTTCATCCAAGTTCTATGAGGCGTGAACAACAACAATAAAAATCAAAACAAAGCAAAACAAAAAAAACAGAAAAGAAAAAATAGCCCTTTGTGGTAAAGGGCATGCTGGGAAGGCGAGAGCCAGAGCCGCCTCCCCAGAGCATGCTGGGAGGATGGGCACCAGAGCCACTCTCTAGAGCATGCTGGGAGATGGACACCAGCACATCTCCAAGGACTGCACTTCCCCCCAACTCCCACCCCTATTCCCTCACCCACCCCAACCCAGAGACTAGAGGAAAGTTTGTCCAAAGATGACTGTGGAATAAGGGATGCCGTGGTTCTCTGCAGGTCCCCACACTGTGGGGACTTGAGTCAGCGAACGAGGAGAACAGTCAAGATGAGGAGATGGAGAAATAGAGGCAGGAGAGAAACGGGGGACTGACAGAGAGTGGAGGGGCCAGCGTGGTGGCAGAGGACATGGGGAGAGGGACAGAGAGCTGTGGCCGCTAGCCCGAGGCGTTGATGTACAGCTGGCTCTTGAGAATGTAGTCGATGACCGGCTGGGACAGGTAATCCACGACATGGCCGTCCCCGTGCTGCAGGGCCAGCCTGGATGGGAAGAGGTGGCAATCAGGGGGACATCCTTCCCTGAGGCAAGGCAGGAGGACTGATCTGCCCACTCTCTTCCAGGGAAAGGCTGTACCCAGCACCCACCGCCAGCCTTTGCTTAGGCTCCGTGAGCGGAATTCCTATGAGGAAACGCCCTCTTGCCCCCTTCCCCCATCCTGGGGAGCCCATCTCATCCTGGCTCTGCCACTTCCTAGCTGAGCCACCTTGGGCAAGCTGTTTAAGCCCATCTGTTCTTCAGTTTTCTCTTCTATAAAATGAGGGTAATACAGTGAAACCTTGGTTCTCGAACGCCTCGGTTTTCGACCAAATGGAGATTCGAGAAACTTTTGTCTCGGAATCCGAACAAATATTTGGAACTCGAACTTCCGAGTTGAGCCGAATGGCGTTCATTCGGCCCAGCGCGCCTTGCTCGCGTCATCAGTGTGAGTGCAGAGAGAGAGTCACGCTTTGTGGAGTCACGCTTTCCTATTGGTTTCATTGCTTCGGTTCTCGAACAATTCGGTTCTCGACCGTCCTCCTGGAACGAATTATGTTCGAGAACCGAGGTATCACTGTAACTATCTCAGTTATTATAAGAATTAAATGATTCATTACGAAAAGCACTTAGAATAGCCCAAGCACATAGTGTTTTCACGTTAGCTAGTGTTATTTCATTCCTTTGTGTTTCTCTGCACCATGGTTGTGAAAATGAGTCTCATCGGGGTTCTGACGATTGACCATTTCCTTTCTTTCCTACAGGAGTCTGGTAGAGAAGGTGCCCTTCTCCGAGGCCCTTCTCACCAGCCGGGGGGCTATGGAGGGAGGCACCAGCAGGTGCCAAAGAGCTCCGGGGATACACTTTGGTTTCTGCACAGTTTTGCTCTAGCTCTGGTCTGGCAGCTTCCCATTCTCTGCACATATGATGAGCCAAACGCACCTGCTCTTGGTTGAGCTGACAACCGACATGGGATGGTTGATGTCATCCTTCACCACCATGATGTTGTTCTGGGGACAGAACAGAGAGAGTAGGTAGCCAGCTCCCAGGCCTCTTCGAGAAGGGCCACATCACAGAGGTACACCCGCAGGGAGATGGAGAACTCACTTTGTATTTGCGGAGAATTGAGGAGTGATTCATGATTCGGTCTGTGTCGGCTGCATCCCGGGGTACCACCACGATCCCAAAGTCCCCAACAATCACCTCCATCTGAAGAACATGCACACACACAGGGAGAGAGAAAGAGGGGGTGGGGAGGGAGAGAGAGAGAGAGAGAGAGAGAGAGAGAGAGCGCGCACCTTTTGTGAGATCATGACTCCAACCCCCTACCTAGCAACTCTTTAGCAGGGTGCAGCTACCGTCCATGGAGAACCCCAAGCTTTAGTCCTACACTTGCCTCCTCAGCCCTGTCAGCTCCTTCAAGAAACAACCTGTAACAGTGTTAGTGGAATGAGTGAGAACTCTGCCTGGCACACAGAAGGTGCTTAATAAATACCTCTAGACTAAATGAATCAACGTGCCTCTGCAGGTCTGGGCAAGATCTCTCCAGTTCCCGAGGCTCCTGTGAGTTCCTCGTGCTGAAGAGTAACGTGAGTGCCACACAGTCCTTATGGTGGACAGCCTTGTAGTGACGCAGATCCCGCCGGCCAGCAAGGAAAACCCGAACCCCCGTGGGCTCCGGGGAGGGGCTGGAATGCTCCCCTGCTCCCCCACATCAGAGCTGCTGTGGGTCTCAGGGCACTGAAGACCTTGTGAGGCATCAGTGCGGAGGAAGTGACGGGGATCATAACGGGGTCACTTCTGGGGTAAGCCTCTCATTGCAGCTTGCTGCCATAATGAGAAATGAAACCTTTTCATTAGAAACCAATAATAACCTCTCTTACTTTCCCTGATTATAGACATAATACAAGCTTGGGAAACTAAAAATAAATGAATAAAAATCGATCAGAACCACACCACACAGAAAACCACTAATATAACCATAGTACACTTCTGGCCAGTGTTTTCCTCTCTACAAATAAGTGTATATATGCACAACTGGGTTAAACTGAAAAATAAATCATTTTATCTGCATTTTTTATTTACCATATTGTGAGCATTTTCTCGCGTCATTACAATTTGAAAAGATCAAGCTTTAACACTCTGTGTATTTTATTGCCGGGCTGTACTATGATACAGCATGGTGTATTAAACCAATCTTGTATTATAGGAAGTGTGTAGTGACGCCTGGTCTTTTACGCTTCTACATCCCACTTCGTTGAAGATCTTTATACATAAGTCTTCTACCACATCTCTGATTATTTCTTTAGGATAAGAAGTAAAACAATTACTTGAAAGAATATGAACTGGATATATTTCAAGCTCTTGAGACATATTACCAAGCTGCTTTCTGGAAACTCATGCTAATTTTTATTTTCAAAGAGCCTAAAAGTGATGGCACTTAGAGACTTGGATCTGGCCTGGGCATATCATTGTTTAGATCTCACCAATTAAGAACCCCAGATGGCGCATGTAGACGGAGGAGGCCGACGGCTTCTAGGCAGGGCAGCTCATGGAGCAAGACCTGGTCGCAGTAGCAAGGGACCCAGGTTTCTACTCATAGTTCTCCGAACTAGTGACACAGACAGACATAATGGATCCCTGTGGGAGAATATCTGTACCAGCAGGACTCCACTTCTAAGTCTGATCAATCGATTACATTCGTGTGCGTGCATGTGTACGTGTGCATGCCCGTGCTTGCGTGCATGTGTGTGCGTGCCCGTGCTTGCGTGATGTGTGTGCATGCCCATGACTGTGTGCGTGTGTGCCCGTGCTTGCGTGCTTGCATGTATGTGTGTGCATGCCCATGATTGTGTGCATGTGTGTGCGTGCCATGCTTGCGTGCATGTGCGTGCACGTGTGTACGCCCCTGGGTACTTGCAGCCACTCTGCCCAACCTCTGCCATTGCTTCCAGCTGGAGCTCGAGTTGCTGAAGACGCCCCAGGAGGGAAGTTGTGGAGAAAAGTTAAAGGCAGCTATAAAACATCAGGCCCCCACGGGGTCGTGTCATTTGGAAAATCAGAGCGTTGCCCAGCCTGCTGGCGGTGCTCAGACCCGGCGAATTGGCAGGGCGCGCTTGTCCCATAAACCAGGAATGCTCGGGAGAGGCAGGGCGGGGAGTTGGAGGTAGACCCGGCCCAGCTCAGCCTGCCATGGCGCTTGGAATGCTGCCCTGGGGTTCTCTGCTCAGAAGTGACCCAAGAGCTGGTTCTCACACTTGGCTGCTCCTTAGAATCGCCTCAGGCGCTTTAAATATCCCCAAAGCCCAGTTCACACCCAAGATTAATTAAGCCAGAATCTCTGGGAATGGGCCCTAGGCATCAACAGCTTTTTTTTTTTTTTTAATTCCCCAAGTGATTGCAATATACAACCAAACTTGAGAACCAGCATGTAAGTACTGCATTAAAACTCCAGGGGATTGGTAGGGAAAGAGATAGGAAAGAGGAGAAAGGAGAAAGGGAGAAAGAAAGAAGGGGAGGGGAGAGGAAGAGAGAAAGGGAAGGGAGGGGAGGGGAGGGGGAGGGGAGGGGGGAGGGGAGGGGGGAGGGGAGGGGGAGGGGAAGGGAGGGGAGGTATACAAGGGAGATCCCTCAACTGCTTGGCTATGTAGATGTTTTAGGATCTCTGCATAATGAAAGATCTGCCTTCCACTTGATTCTGACAACTTGATGGGTGTTTCATGTCTGATGCCTGAAATAATGCTTAGAGCATGAAAACAATGCCTCAGAACAGCAGACAGGACTCCCCGGGGTGGGGGTGTGGCACGGGGCTGATGGCCCTTTGGGTGACATTGGTGCATCTGCTGCTTTCCACTCAGGAACTGATGATCTGAGCACCCGATCAGCAACAGCGCCAGATGGCTCAGTGAGTGGCAAGCAGATGGAGAGCTTGCTGCTTGAGTTGTTTTCCTTTGCCAGAAACAGGTGGCAGACTTGCCCCCTGGAATCACAGATCAGACAGAGGAGATGGGGTCTATGTCCACACACAGCTCTACCACATCACAGAGGCATATCTGCAGGAGCGAGGGCCAGAGGCTGCAGTCCTTGCCTTCTAGGGCACGGGTTTGATTTCCATGCTGGAGGGTGTTTGTGTGGGTGTGTGTTGGGTTGTGGGGAGGTGCCGGGCGCTAGAGTTGGTGAGGTGTGCCCTTGGTCCCATAGGTACCCATCTCCCTCCAGGGGCTTAGCTGTCCTTCCCACCCCACCCCCATTCCCTGCCTCCTATCTTCACCTGGCTTCTGGGACATCCTAACCCCACCCCCACCCCCACCCCCGTTTGTCCTCCTACCTCCCCGCTGCTCTTTTTGGTCTTTCTGTGCTGGGTCTTTCTCATCTCCCTGATCTGGAACCATGGGAGGGCCCCACGCCTCAGTCCTTGGACCTCTTTTCTCTTTATATTTACACCCTTAATGATTTCAGTCCATTTCAAAGCTTAAAAGACACCTTGAAGGCTCCCAAATGGCTCCTTCCAGCATAGACTTCTCTCCTGAACTTAAACTCAGATATCCAGTGGCCTTTTCAACATGCCCATTTGGATGAGGCATCTCAAGTAGAATATGTCGGTGCCCCCCTCAATGCTCTGGCATCAATCAATCAACCCTCCTCGCTGAAAATGTTTTCCCAAAAGCCTTTCCTTTCAGTAAGTGGAAACTCTTCTTAAAATCGCTGAGGCCAGAGCCCTGGCAGGTTCCTTGATTCCTCTCACACCCCACTTGTGATCGATAAGGCACCACAACTGACTGATTCCAAAACAAATCCAAGACTCAGCCCACTTTTTACCACTTCTGTCCTGGTCCAGGCTTCCTTGGGTAGGTTAGATGGTGGCCCCCAAAGATATCCAGGTCCTCATCCCCGAAATCTGTCACCCCATAAACCTCAGGTGGCAAAAGAAACTTTGCAGATGGGATTAATCTCAGGATCTTGAAATTATCCTGAAAAATCTAGGGGGAGAGGCCTCCTTCAGTAACAAGTGTCCTTACAAGAGGGAGGAGGGAGACTCAACACAGAAGAGAAAAGATGATGGATGGAAAGACAGAGCAGAGGAAGATGTGAAGATGCTATACCGTTGGAAGAAGGGGCCACGGGCCAAGGAAAACAACCGAAGCCGTAGAAGCCCGCAAGGCAAGGAAACCCCCCCTGGAGCCTGGGGGTGGGGACGGCCCTGCCAACACCTTGGTGTGGGCCCAGTGAAGCCTGTTTTGGACTTCTGGCTTCCAGAGTGTCGGAGAATAAATCTGGGGGATTTAAGCCACCAAGTCTGCAGCCACAGGTAACTGATTCACCTCCACCGAGTGTCGGAGAATAAATCTGGGGGATTTAAACCACTGAGTCTGCAGCCACAGGTAACTAATTCACCTCCACCGTCTCTCACTTGGATCATCTCCCTGCTTTTCTCTGGCCTTTTTTCAACCTATTCCCAATCGGCAGACTGACAGTGTTCAAACAGAAGTGAAATTACGTTGCTCCTTAGCGGAATCCCTTCACTTAGACGTCACCTGCTCAGCGAGGCCTTCTCTGGCCTGCTCTTGCGATGGGTGTCCCTGGGCACGAGTCACGTGCTCCCACTCCCCCGCGTCCCCACCCTCCCCTGTGCTTCACCTCCCACCGCAGCACATCTCTCCATCTAACACTTGCATATTTTCCTTGTTTAACCTTATTTTTGTCTCTTTCTTCTCTACGGAAAAATCCCATGAGGGCAGGGATTTGTGTGTGGTGTTTGCTGCCATGTCCCGTGTCCCGGGTGGAAAGGACCTGGCACAACAGATGCACATCGATTCTGTTGACTCAGTGGGTCCCTGCAGCAGTGTCTCCTCTGGCAGATGTGACTCAGGTGTTAGCTGATAAACTCTCCCTGTCTCAGGACCCGGAGGGAAGCCCATTGTACCCAATGGGAGCTCTGGACACCCAAGGAAGTGGCTCCAAAGGTGTCCCTCTCCCGGGAATGACCAAGGTGACTTCACACCGCCACACCACAGTGCGTAGGATCAGGGTCCCTCCTCCCACCCCCGGCACACAGTGGCCCTCTCACTTTAGCTCCGGCCTGTGTCACGTCTCAGAGATGAGGGTCTGTGACATTTATCCTGCTTCAGCCTCCTGCTCAGCGGCCCAGCTTTGACCTGGTCTATTTCATCTTCAGGCCACAGTCTCCCAGGGGAGGCAGGGTGGGATGG